GTCTTTGGGACTGTGGAGGAACCACCGTCCTCTGATAAGCCTAGGACTGGTCCAGGAGGTGGCCTGGGTTCTCACTCATGAGTCAGCATCCTTTGCCAGTGGGGCCCTCGCTGTCTGCCTCGTGGTGATGGGCACGGGAGGAACCCGGAGTAGCCAGTAGGCCTGCTTGCTGAATATTAGTGGGGTGTCGGGGAGTGTCTGAAATCTGAGAGGAGGTCTGGGGAGACATGATGGCAGAGTCAGACTCCTGCTTACCCCCTGGTCTTAGGTCTCAACCCCCTGAGACCCAGCAGGGGTGTGTGTATCAGGAAGAAGTGTCTTAAGAATGACAGATGGGCCTCAGTGGGAGTGGGGCTCCCTTGGCCAGTGGGAGTGGGGCTCCCTTGGCCAGTGGGTGCCTGTCATGGAGCTGGACAGGGTTAGCATCTTCTGGCTGGAGGGGTGAGGCTCCTGTTGGCACTGAGGCTGTTCATCTTTGCAGAGGTGGAGCTGGTTGGGAAGAAGTCGCATTGACTGTGTAGGTGGCATCAGCTGTCCTGGGGAACTGTTTGCTTAGCAGCCTGAATATTCTAAGTGTTTAATAGGAAATGCCCATGTGCCGTGTCTAGGTTTGCTTTTTACATTCGTCCATCCTGAGATGAGCTGGCTGCAAAGTGCTTTTCCAGATCTCCTACATTATTATTATTTTTTTCTTTAAAAAGGCATTTCATGCAGTTACAGTAACAGCTAAGGAAAGCAGCAAGCTGGGGGACACACAGGAGTTTGGAACCAGTGCTCTGCTGTTGGAGGGGTATCCTCGGAGCAGGAGGCCTGAGAACCAGTTGCCTGAAACCCCCCCACCCTGAGCCTGGTGGAACCGCCCCCCCCCCCCACCAGCTCCCACCCCTGCCTCTGCCTCTTTTTTTAGCCTCAGAAATTCCAACCATACTTTATTAAGGGTTATAATTATCCCATAATCTAGTACAAACAAAAACGAGCTACATTTCCAATCAATACTGCCTGTTGGTTTTATTTGGGGAGCTGAGTTTACAGCAGGTGGGAGAGGACCCAGCCGCATTCCCCCAGCCCCCTTCCTCCCACTGCTGCCTTCCAGGGGCCACGGCTGGGCCCCCCGAGCTTTTCTTCTGCCTTTGCCTTGCCTGGCAGTGCAGTGGCCTCTGTACTGGACCCCCACCTGTGCCTCCAGGTCTGTCTCTGCCGGCTCCACCCACAGGTTGCCCCATCTGGGCGCTTTGCTGCCTGAGCCTGTCAGTGCTCCTGCGTCGCCCTGGACCCCTGTCTCTGGAGGAACAGAATGCCCCCCGTTCCCACTCTCATCCCGTGTACCCCTCGCTTGAATCAGAGTCGGTCCTGGCACTGTGGCCGTCCAGTGTGGCAAAGCCCTCCTGAGTGGCCTTTATTGGAGCATGGGGCTGAGTGCCCTGTAACCACAGACTCCAGGACTGGTGCAACCTGTAGAAGGATGTCGTTAACTTTGTCACCTTCGGTTCTGACACAGAGAGCCTGCACATCCCAGCCACGGCAGGCACAGGTGCTGGCTCCATTCACCTCTGTCTTTTCTTCCAGAGTCTTGGAAAGTAGCATGTGACCCTTGGGTCCTCCTGTAGGGGCAGGAGAGTGGAAAAGAGAGAAGGAGAAAACTCTCGCCCGTCCCTGCCCGTGGAGATAGAAAAGACCTCCTGCACAGTAAAAAACACGTCTGTGGGTGGGGGCTTGGGTAAGACCTGGACAGGGAGGACCTCACTGGACGGGAAGGGAGTGAGGAGGGCCAGGAGCCCCTGGTGGTCGGGTCACGGGAGGATGCAGCTTCAGTGTTGACTCAGCCCAGATTCCTGGCCTGTTTTTCCCTTTTGGCGACACGCGTTAAATAGCTTTTTGGAAATTTCCTGATTGGAATATTTTGAAGTGGCAATTTGATTTTTTTTTAAATTGTGGTAACATATACACAAAGTGAAATGTACCACTTTGACCTTTTTGAAGTGGGTAGTTCAGTGGCATTAAATACATTCACATGCTTGTGCAGCCATCACCACCACAGCCAGAACTTTTCCATCTTCCCCAGCGGATGCTCCGTCCCCATGACACAGTAGCACCCCGTTTCCCCTCCCCCAGCGCCTGGCACCCTCCATTTCTACCTTCTGTCTCTATGAATCTGGCCCCTCTGGGGACTTTGTATCAGTGGGACCATACAATACTGCCCTTTTGTGATGGGCTCATCTCCCTCAGCACAGCGTCCTCAAGGTTCAGCCAGGCTGTGTCGGGTGTCTGCCTGTCTTCCTTTTTAAGGCTGAGTAATATCCCACTATGAGGATGGACCTGTTTTGCTTATCTGTTATCCATCAGTGGACACTGGGGTTGCCCCCACTTCTTGGCTATTGTGAACAGTGCTTCTATAAGCAAGGGTGAACACACATCTCTGAGTCTACTTTAATCTCTTTTGAGAATGTACTCAGAAATAGGGTAATAGCTGGATTCTCTGTTTAAATTTCCTCAAGTCTAGCTCAGCCATCCATTTTTCTCCCCCTTTCCAACCTTTTTTTTTTTTTTTTTAAGACTGTGTTGCTGGTTTTAGAGTAGACACTTTCAAAAAAGACTTTCACAAGCTGCCTGATGTACTAGTTTAGCAAGGAAAGTTTTTGAATTGCTGGCAATTAGAAAGCAGCTGTGGGCAGCATGGTTTGGTGTGCTAACTGTAACCACCTTGGGCAGAAGGGTGAGTTTTTCTGGGAGGGAGGCTCGGTGGTTGTGTAGGTGCACTGGCCTTAACGCTACTTTATGGCATTTCCCCAGTGACTTACGGAAAGGTTTATAGAACTATCAGGGGATGTGGAATTGTTCCTAGCCATTGTTAAAAAAAAAAAAAAGTCTTTCCCATCATGTGGAAAATACCAAACATTTCTTGCAGGAACATTTGGGTCAGAATGACCCGATTTGTTCTGCTTTGGTGAATGTATCATGTTTGGGGAACATTGAGGAAAACCCACTGAGCACTGCCGTAGTTATTAGCACTGTGTCATACCTTTGCTTTCCTTCCCATTGTCAGTGGCCTTTTTTGTGGTTGGTTTGTCCGCTCGTGCAGGTTTGTCTCCTGGGTGCTATTAACAGTGCCTTTTCTTGACACATTGTGCAGAGAGATTCACAGTGTTTCAGTCATCCAGAGTTCGAGCGGTTGTTGGTAGGCAGCGCGTTGTTTCCCTCAGGTTGGACGATTGCTGGACTCAGACGGGAAAATGACAGACCAGGTCACCTGCCTTCAGCAACTCGGCACCGGGAGGTGTGCGTGGGGTGGCACCGATGCCTCAACGAGATACAGGCTGCTGGAGCACGTGGGGGTGCATCTCTGGTCTGTGCCCTGCATCTGACCGGCAGTGTCTGCGTGTATCACAAAAGTGCAACGGGAATTTGCTGTATGGCTAAGGAACTCAAACAGGGGCTCTGTATCAACCTAGAGGAGTGAGATGGGGAGGGAGATGGGAGGGAAGTTCTAAAGGGAGGGGGTATATGTATACCTCTGACTGATTCAGGCTGAGGTTTGACAGAAAGCAACAGAATTCTGTAAAGCAATTATCCTTCAGTAAAAAAAAATTTTTAAAAAAAGAATAAATGAGAGAATAAATTAAAAAGAGTCACAGTTCAGAGGAGAAGTCTCCCCATCCCCTGCCCCTTAGTGGGCTCCCAAACCATCATGTCCATCGTGTCTGCGAGGCAATAAGAGGCAGGTCTTGTTGACCACGTGCACTGGTTGCTGCTGGAAGCCGGGGGAGGAGCTGTCCTTTCAGAACCACACAGCAAACAGACCGAGGTGCCGGTCTTGTGTGGTGACAGTTTTGGAGTGCACTGTCATTGGTGCAAGGGAAGGACACTGTTTATGGGGAGCACCCAAGGTGGTGACAGCCCCGTGGTTGTCAGGTGGCCGCCTGGCCGCGGTGGGAACTCATGAAGGCCCTCCGGTGTGGGGCCGACCCACTCTAGCTCGACCGCCGGCCAGGGCGAGAGTGGCCCTTCCAGCTGGTCCCCCACGTGGTCTGAGAGGGTTTGGGGCCTCTCGGTTGCTGGTGACTCATGTGACTTGCAGGTGTCACCCCTGCCCCAGGTCACACACAGCATGTTTCACTATCAAGTTGCTCACAAGTTCTTGCGACTTGCATGACTCTCCAGAGTGGAGTCCATATTCTTCTTGGCAGGAGGGTAGCACGTGTGCTTTTGTGTGATCATGAGCCAGGCCATGGGCTGTTCGTCAGCAGGGGAGGCAGAGAAACAGGCCTGGTCTCAGGGAGGTTGCCAGGTGGTGACCGCCTTGCCCCAAGTGGCTGCTTCACTGTCTGCAGCTTGAGCTTGGCTGGGACACTGTCGAAATCCTCGCAGCCACAGAAGCATTGGGTTGACGTCAGATGTTCCACTAAAAAGACCAGGCCTTGGCAGCGGGAGGGGCTGTGGTGTGACGAGGTGGACAGCCCTCTGCTGGCCTTGTGGAAGGACTGCTGAGTCACCAACCTCTCTGAGCCTGGGGCCCCTGCCTGAGGTGGGGTAGAGTGCTGTCATGGAGGTAGTATCGGGGTTTTGCTTCAAGGCTACCCTGGGCAGCCCCAGCTGTGTCTTCACTTCAGAGTCAGTGGCTGCACCGGGGTCTGGGGGCCTTTGTGGAACCAGGACACCAGTGATGGTCTCATTTCCATGGGAACGCACAGCATTCAGCGTGTTCATGAGCTGGTTGTCTGGTTGTGGTTTGAGAGGCTAGGTTTCCAGAGCTTATCAGAATAGACAATGCAGCTTGCCGTTTCATTCAGAGCGATGTCGTCTAAAAACAGGACAGTGGCTTCACCGGTGGGTGAGGCGTTGGCTGAGTGTGGAGAGGTCTGAAAAAGCTGCGCAGTGGGAGAAGCGTCAGGCTTGGAGGACACGGCCAAGGCTGAGGCGTGCCCGCCCCACCCCCTCCCCTAGTCTTTCTGTCGCTGCTGCCTTTCTTGACTGTAATCCCCAGCAAACGTCTCTCGTTACAGAGTACGGCGTTTGTGAGAACTTGCGGAAGCTGGAGATCACGGGCGTGTCTTGTCGAGACGTCTATGCCAAGCGTAAGTCTCTCTGCTGCCGTCCCCCGCTGGCTGGCCGCCCGGAGGCTGGCCCGCGCTGAGCAGCGCCCCCCGGAGGCTGGCCCCCGCTGAGCAGCGCCGCCCGGAGGCTGGCCCCCGCTGAGCAGCGCCGCCCGGAGGCTGGCCCCCGCTGAGCAGCGCCCCCCGGAGGCTGGCCCCCGCTGAGCAGCGCCCCCCGGAGGCTGGCCCCCGCTGAGCAGCGCCCCCCGGAGGCTGGCCCCCGCTGAGCAGCGCCCCCCGGAGGCTGGCCCCCGCTGAGCAGCGCCCCCCGGAGGCTGGCCCCCGCTGAGCAGCGCCCCCCGGAGGCTGGCCCCCGCTGAGCAGCGCCCCCCGGAGGCTGGCCCCCGCTGAGCAGAGCCCCCGCAAGGTGGGCCAGTTCTCAGAGGTCCGGAGGCTGACCCCCGCTGAGCAGCGCCCCCCGGAGGCTGGCCCGCGCTGAGCAGCGCCCCCCGGAGGCTGGCCGCCCGGAGGCTGGCCCCCGCTGAGCAGCGCCCCCCGGAGGCTGGCCCCCGCTGAGCAGCGCCCCCCGGAGGCTGGCCCCCGCTGAGCAGCGCCCCCCGCTGGCTGGCCGCCCGGAGGCTGGCCCCCGCTGAGCAGCGCCCCCCGGAGGCTGGCCCCCGCTGAGCAGCGCCCCCGCAAGGTGGGCCAGTTCTCAGAGGTCCGGAGGCTGACCCCCGCTGAGCAGCGCCCCCCGGAGGCTGGCCCCCGCTGAGCAGCGCCCCCCGGAGGCTGGCCCCCGCTGAGCAGCGCCCCCCGGAGGCTGGCCCCCGCTGAGCAGTGCCCCCGCAAGGTGGGCCAGTTCTCAGAGGTCCGGAGGCTGGCCCCCGCTGAGCAGCGCCCCCCGGAGGCTGACCCCCACAAGGTGGGGGCCCACGGGCCAGTTCTCGGAGGTGACGCTGTGCGGCCAGCTCTCAGAGGCCCCCTTAAAGTCAGAGGTGACGCTGTGCGGCCAGCACAGGCGTGACAGCACTGCGGCTCTCTCCTCCCCGTTTCTGGCCAAAGCGGGACCCTGATTTTGCAGCACAGGTGCATCAGGTGTCATTTAACTGGAGACATGGTGGCCCTGAAAACAGCTCTGGGGGGCTCAGAGGTACCCCCTTCTGGGTCTTGGCCCGCAGCCTGGTTGGGGACGTGGCAGCAGGAGTGACCATGACATGTGACAGCAGCTGGGCCCCTCCTCCCTGCCCCAGCCCCTGTCCTTCCTCGGCTCGTTTCCTGCAGGAGTGGTGAGCCCCCAGTCCCCGCCCCCATTTCTTGTCTCCACCACTTTGCCTTCCAGAGTTGCCAGCGGTGCTCCCTGATGCCCAGAGCCCCTGCCCCAAGCATCTCTTCTCTGGCCCTCCCTCAGGTGTGAGGCTGTTGGCACTGATGCCACCCAGGGTCCCACGGGGTAGCCCGCCTCTCCCTACCTGGGCTGGGGTGGAATGCACTGTTAACCCTTGGGGCTGGGTTGTAAAGGACGGTGTAAGAAAGACCTTTGGCCTAAGGGAGACCTGCTGAGTTCTCTGGAAAGGACCTTAAGTGTTCATCTTAAAAGCACCTTGGTAGAGTTTGGTTTTCACTGTCTTTTGCACTTTGTACCAGTTGTGCAGAGAACATGCAGATCAGGTGGTGCTTCTCCCTGAGCTGCTTCCCTAGGGAGCCAGGGCTGGGCTCCTCTGTGGGGACACCTGTGATTCAGTACGGGGGGCTTCCTGGGGAGCTGGGGCGGGCTGCTGTGTGGGAACACCTGTGATTCAGTACGGGGGGCTTCCTGGGAGACCAGCCCTCCTCACGTGGCCCACATCCGCTGCACAAGCAGAGTGGGCCACGGTTGGCCCCTGAATCCACGCTGACTTCCTCATCCCCTCAGACTTCTCTCTACCTCAGTCCCGTGACCACTTGGGGGGTATTAGATTGGCAGGTGTCCCTGGGTTAGAGTTGCTCACGAGTTGGGAAATCTCCTGTCAGAGTCTCTGGGTCTCCATGGATCTTCCCCTGAGGAGCCCAGGCACCCTGGACACAGGCGGTTCTTGGTGTTGATGCTCAACTGTACCTTCAAGGCAGCCACGTCCCCCCCCACGCCCCCGCTCCCACCGGAGCCCTGCATGTCCCGGCTCTACTTCTGCTACCTCCCAGCACCCCAGTTCCCCACTTGCCAGGGGCCTGGGCTGCATCCTTGCCCACCATAGCCACCATCCCTGCCCCCCCCCCCCCCCGCCCACCCCCACACCTGTCCTTGGTCCTGGACCCAGTGATGGTCCTCACAGGATTTCCTGCTCCTCCTTCCCTGTACACCTTCGCACTTTGGCTTTCTCTCTGACCTCTGCTCCATGTCCCACTCCCCAAGAAGACGTGTCTCCAGGGCAAGTGGATCTGGGGGCCCTAGTGGTCACTCCTGGGAAAATGGAGTTCCTTCCAGTCCTCTGGTCTCAGGGACGAGAACAGTGCTCCTTTGAATCCTGCAAAGCCCAGAGTTCCAGGGGTGGAGAGCTGGTTGTGTACCCTCTCCTCCTGCCCTCTGTCCTGGGGGTGTCGCCAGGGCCCCGCTCCACTCTCGGCTCCAGCGTTGCTCCCCAGAGTCAGAGTCTTTAAGTCCAGAGAGTCCAGGAGGCCACCCTCGCTGTGGACATTGGTATCTGTCTGAACCACACTGGCCATAGCAGCCTCTGTGAGCACAGGACCGAGAGGCTTCCTGGATTTGGGAAACGGTCAGCTGTTTCCTTGAGGGTCTAATACGACAAGTTCTTATCATCTGGCCACTTGAGTTTGTTAGGCCATTTGATGATATCATGTCAAAGTGACTTGAGTTCCCTGTAAGAGCTGTAAGCCCTGAAATAGTCCTGGAGGGAGGCTCACATCCGCCTGGTGTTGGGGCTAAAGCTCCCGGGGGAGAGCACGCATGAGAAATTAAGGCCCCCGCAAAGCTCATCTCAGCTGCGGGCAAAGGGGCTGGGGCAGCTGTCCTGTGGAAGGGACGTCTGGGCACAGTGGATGGGCAGGTGAGCAGGAGAGGGGCGGTCCAGCAAGAGGGGACAGGGCCACAGCAAGGTCACAGGCAAAGCAGGACATCTGGAGAGGTTGTAACTGCTGGCTCGCAAACCCTCGAAAGTGGTTGCCAAATGCAGAGGACAGTTTGCATTGTCTGTTATCCAGACACTTTCCCAGAGTGTCTGATCTGCCCCTGCAGCGTGAGCTTCAGCTTCCATCCTCACAGCCCCAGAACCGTGTTTCTTTGAGTTTGCCTTGAGGACCTTAGGTTCCGGAAGAGGTGGTGGAAGAAAGTCACCCCTCTCCTGCTTAGATAGTGGGCCCAGCTACCTTGATTCAGGAGCGAGGGGTCTGACTGAGTTCGGGGGCTGGCAAGTACTGTCCTTCAGCACAACCAGCACTCTCAAACACAGCAGGTGAAGGACATGCCAGGTATGCACCGGGCAAGCCTGGGATCCTAGCTGGGACACAGGGCTCCCTACACAGTCACCCCAATATCTGTGAGTATGACCTCTGCCCTCCCTGCTCAGCGAGCCTGGTTATCGTGGTGGGTGACGGAGAGAGAGCGTGGGGTTGGGGGAGTCCCGAGTGGGCCTGTCGTGGAGAGTCCCCAGCATGGATCACTGACTGGCAGCAACGCCTGTCATCACGATTCCTTCTGGCCAGGCCTGCCACCATGGCGAGTGCTCCCGCAGGTTCCGGGGGTCGAGGACGTAAGGGAAGTGTGTGACATGGGTGAGCGAGTGGTGAGTCCAGTTGAGAAGGCAGAAGCCCCCTCAGCCCCTTGCCTGCTGTGTCTGTTCAGGTATAAACCCGCGCGTGAAGTCGGGACGTTTCATGAGAATTCTGCCCGATTACGAGCACATGGAGTACAGAGACGTGTACACCTGCCGTACGTACCCCCACCCCCAGCCCCACCCCGGCTTCCGCTTCTGTGGCGAGCACAGCCGAGATGCTGCCGGTAGGGCCTGTCACTCAGGCTCTGGTCCTGGCAGCGGGCTGACCTCCTTGGCTTTTGCTGGTTTTCACCTCCTGAGTGGCATCCCCGGGGCAGCTATACAAATGGGCTGGGTTTCCGTAGCCGCTTTGGGTTTGGGTTGTAGCAAGCACGAGCGTGTGTTGCTGTGTATTTTAACATTTATTGCTTCTTGAAACAGTAGGAGTCTTAAAACCTACCTCTTCAGAGATGAAGTGTGAGTGTTCACATCCAGGCTTTGTAGTCCTCACGTGTTAACAGTAGATGTCAATGTAAGAAGTTTACACACACATATACACACGCAACAAAAGTACCTAGAAATGGTGGGTATTTTCTCCTTTGACGGGCACCACTTGAGCTCCAGACATCTTCCTAAGCCGTGTTCCACGGGGACGAATGCTGTCTCTGTTTGTATTGGGCTGAGCCAGGACGCACCAGAAGCTGTTTTCATGTTTTCAAGAAGCACAGGGAGTCCCCTCCTGCTCTTTTCCCCATGCCCCCGGGCGTCCAGGGGCCAGCATCATCTGCGTTGAGCAGACCCGCTCCTGAGTCTTAGAAAAGCATAGTTTCCAACAAAATCTGCTTAGAACAGAGAGTAGAGTCATCAGTGGAATTTCTCCGAAACCCCACCAGACTCCATGTGCTGGTCAGTCCTGTTTTACTCAGGGGTCATCCTGGAGTCTGGGCAGGGCTGCCCGGGTGTGGGCAGTGTGCTCTGGGGCGCTGTGTGGGCACTGTGCACTAATAAAGCAGCCTCATGTGTCACCCAGGCCCAGGGGACTGATGCGGGAGTGGTCACCACAAGCCCGGGCTGGGCTGGCCAGCTGAAGATGTGAGTTCTATTCCTTTTCTGGCCCTCTTGGGAGTGGGCTCTCTGGAGCACTCTGTCCTGGGCTGTGCTGTCCACCCCCCGCCCAGCAGTCAGTGAGCCAGGCGCCATCTGCAGCCCCATGGGACAGACAGTGATGCTCCGGGTATTGATGAGAACAGTGGATCGATGGCGCTGGCTGTGCTGAGGGGAACCAGGTGTCGCGGGCTTCTAGACACAAACAGACGAGCACTTAGAGGTTATGTGTCATGGGGCTGTCACAGGCTTCTTCCAGGGCTTAGGCTGTCAGGCTGATGTGGAATTCTGACGCGCCTCTAGGGGTGACCAGGACCAGGAAGTGCCTCAAGTGGTTTTGAGGGGTGTCCTTTTCTGTGCCCAGAGGGTGGAAAGAAGCTTCCTGCAGTGATGAGTATGTGTCCTGAGTCCCGATGGTTCACCCTGCTTCTGGGAGACCACATCTCGAGTGTCTGGACCAGAGCCGCATGTGCGCTGTCCCCATTGTTTCTAGCTGACGCTGCCTTTAGGACCTGGTTTATCAGGGGACTGCTGGTGCCTCAAGCTGTTAGTGTAGTTATAAAAGTGCAGCGGAACGCCTGGAAGATCTAGAGCAGTGACAATAACCAGTTGTCAGCATCGGTTGCCTTTCTCGGATAACTTGTCTGTTATTTTAGATGGTCTGCTAGACTATCGGGAAAATCAGCATGCGTGAAAAAAAGAAAAATCAATTTCACCTGAAGTGGAGCTTCTGCACGCCCAGGTGTTGCTCCAGGTTCTGGTGCCCTAAGGTGCCCTAACCGAGGGCTTCTTGACGTCCGTGCTCTGACGCTCTCCCGAGCTCCAGAGGCGTCCGCTGTGATGACTGGCTTGTGAGGGGCGAGGCCCTGGACTCTGCCTTGTCCACTTGGGCTCTGCCTGGAGCTGTGGGGCCTCAGGTCCCTAGGTCTCCGGAAGTCTTCTGTGCCGCATTCCCCTGGACCTGAGAGACTCTCTGCAGCCTTGTGGCCCAGATCATCTGCTCTTGGTGTGTGTGTGTGTAGCTAACTGACAGTCTTGACAATCCATGTCTGTAAGATGTTGGGATTGTCCTGGGGGTGTGTGTGTTGCCTTTACGATGGCTCTAGCACATGTCTGTGTGTGTGAATCGATGGTGCACTTTGAACTTAAAAATAACCTCGTGCACCTATAGGGCTCTGGGCTTTGAGGCTCAGACCCAGCATTCCGGCAGTGCTCCAGGTTGCTCAAGTAGACATGAGGTGTTTGGTGGAACATCAGCCCCACGGGTGAGGAGATGGCCAGGCCATTTTTAATCCTCAGGTATAGATGACACGGGGTGGAGTCGTTGGAGGGGAAGGCCTCTCCAAAGTCCAGTCTGCCAAGCGGAGCTGAGAACACATTGCAGAATGGCTACGGAGAAAGGCAGGAGACCATCAGTAAGGATAAAGCAGAAGGGTGCTCCTGGAAAGGGCTGTGGGCACCAGCGGGATGTGTGTCTGAGAGAGGAGAGTATGTGTCTGTGGGATGTTTCTCCTGACTTTGTTCTGTGTATCGATTTTGTATCCTGCCACATTACGTAATTCATTTATTCAGTCTAAGTTTTTGGTGGTGTCTTTAGGGTATAGTGGGCTTCCCTGGTGGCTCAGAGGTTAAAGCGTCTGCCTGCAATGTGGGAGACCTGGGTTCGATCCCTGGGTCGGGAAGATCCCCTGGAGAAGGAAATGGCAACCCACTCCAGTATTCTTGCCTGGAGAATCCCATGGACGGAGGAGCCTGGTAGGCTACAGTCCATGGGGTCGCAAAGAGTCAGACACGACTGAGTGACTTCACTTTTGCATGTCATCTGCAAAATGGTGACAGTTGTATTTCTTCCTTTTCAACGTGAACACCTTCTATTTCTTTTTCTTGCCTGATTGCTCTGGCTTGGGCTTCCAACCCTCCGCTGAATGAACATGGGGAGAGTGGGCATCCTTGTCTTTTTCAAAAAGCTTTTTGCTTTTCGTGTTTAATGTGCTGCTGGCTGTGGGTTTGTCACACATGGCCTCTATTGTGTTGAGGTATGTTCTCTCCATATCCTTTTTATCATAAATGGATGTTGCATTTTGTCAAAGACATTTTCTGCGTGTATGGAGAGGCTCACGTGGTTGTTAGCCTTCATTTTGTGAATGTGGTGTGTCACATTGCTTGATTAGTGGATGTTGTGTCATCCTTGCATCCCTGGATAAAACCCCCTTCATCATGGTGTGTGGTCCTTTTTGGTTTGCTGATACTTTGTTGAGGATATTTGCATCTGTGTCCAGCAGGAATATTGGCCTTTAATTTTTTTTTCTTGTGGTGTCCTTGTCTGGTTTTAGTATCAGGGTCATGCTGGCCTCACAGAGTGAGTTTGGAAGTGTTTTTTCCTTTGATTTTATTCCAGCTACCAAGAGTTTCTAGCAGTTGACAGGCGATACCATCAGTTGGATGTAGGGTTTTCCTTTCGGCCTGAAACCTCAGTTCTGCATGACAGATGTAGTGATTCAAGAATGATGTTACGGCCTTGCTGGGTGGTGGGCTGGCCGCCCCTAGTGTGGTGGGCAGTGGCAGCTGCTGGCAGGACAGCAGGGAAGAGACTGCTCAGTCTCAGCTCATGCCGGGGAGAGTTGGGTCTCTTAGGCTGGGTGTTGTCGAGTGTGTTGGCGTTTCCCACTTGGCTTATTAAGTGGCCCTTCCCCTTGGCAGATGAGAGTTGGCTGGCCCTGACTAGGACAGAGTGTTTTTCTGTTAGCTCCTGGGCTGAGAGGTCCCTTAGCCATCTTGGACCATTGTTTCTGTTGTGGTAGTGGTGGTGGGGTGACCTGAGAGCTTGGGCTGGTTTTCTGAACACAACAGTGCTGACCTTGGGGATTGGTGGCTGGCAGGGTCTCTGAGCTGGTGCTACTTCTGGAACGCCCAAGTCCTGCTTTGTGGGGCTGAGACCAGGACCATTTTCATTGTTCTCACTGAGTTAAAGTGTGGTTCTCTGGTTTCTGGTTCCTTCGCCTGTGAACTGGAAGGCCTGTCTTCCCTGGATTCCTAGGAGTTGGGCCCTTTGAGCACACGTGCTTCTGGTGGGAAAGCCCTGGAAGGGTCTGACCCCGTCCACTCGCTGGCTCAGGTCCCAAGCCCGCTGTCTGCTCGTGAGCCCGTGTCACGTGTGTCCCATTCAGCATGCGTGTGTGTGTGTGTGTGTGTGTGTGTGTGTGTGTTAGTCGCTCAGTCATGTCTGACTCTTTGTGACCCCATGGACTGTAGCTCGCCAGGTTCGCCTGTCCATGGATTTCTCCAGGCAAGAATACTGGAGTGGATTGCCATTTCCTTCTCCAGCCCCATTCAGTAAGTGGGACTGAATCCCGTTTACTCGCCTGTCTTGAGTGGTCAATGCGTGTTTGGAGACAGTGGAAGGAGGGCTTGTTGAACTGGGGATCCTCCTCCAGGCTGGGGAGCCCTGGGGTGTGTTGAGCGCCTGGGCCAGGAGGTGTTGGAGACTCTGTCCTAAACCCGAGGGCCCCTCCTCTGCCTGAGGCAGAGTGCGGGCTTGGGTCAAAGGCGAGCCGGAGGGCAGGCGCTTGAGCTTGTCCGTGCTTGTTCCATCCTGCGGCCTTGGCGCCTTAGAGCCAGCCTCCCAGCAGGCTGGGCACAGAAAGCCCCTACACACTCGGCACTGCCTCCCCCTCCTCACCCTGGAGTTTCGTGTGACTCAAGTAGACGCTTCAGTCCGAGGGCCGCCGGGCCGTGTCGAGTCTTTCAGGTTGCTTCTGCTGGACTAACCCTGAGACTTTCTGAAGAATGTGTTGTAAAACACAGGTATCACGTTATCTTAGGGAATTGTGTGCCTCTGGGCCAGCGTGCTTCCAGCCCACTTGACGTGGGTGGTCTCTGACGTTCCCTCCAGTTGTCCTGGGGGCCCAGGCTGGGTGGGCCAGCCTCGTGTTGGCAGCAGCCAGGGGCAACCCATGTGTGCTCACCTGCGTAGAGCTTGCAGTCCAGAGACAGCTGCTGCTCTCGGCACGCATGGGAGGCTGGACTTTTTTTCAGAGAGATGCTGGTTTTAAAGCAGAAGAAGGAACTCCCCTTTGGAAATTGCCGAGTCGGTGGCAGATTCTTTGAACAGACTTTCCAGGGGCTTCGGGATCAGATTGATTGATCTTGGAAAGATGGGAGACTGGAGACAAGAGAAGGCCATGCTGTCTGGGCCCGTTTGACTTTTTCTCCGCAGTTCTATGGCAGCATTTTAAAAACATAACAGAAAAGTAGAGGGAGTTGTGCAGTGAGCACCCACTTACCTGACTCTGTAGCTCTCTGCCCCACTTCACCCCCACACACCTGTCCATCCATCCATTGTATAATGTTCTGTGTCTCTAGGTAAGTGGCAGACGTTAGTCTGTTTTACCCCTAAACACCTGCATGTGCACTGAACCGTCTGGAGCTCAGTATTTGCTTGTGACTCTGACCCTGCTTATTATTGCTTGTTTAACAAACAGAAAACCTATCAGGGCACAGTCGTGAGACAGCCAGTGACTTTAATGTGTGTCTTGTAAGCCAACTCAGAAGACACATGTCCTGAAACTGCAACCTTGGGGGGGCTGGTGGAACCTTCCCACCAGTCATCTGCCCGCCCTGCAGGCTCGGGCTGGTGCTGGACCCGCTTTCCCCATCCCTGTACCCCAGACCAAGTGGTGGCTGCGGAGCTGCTGTCTGGGCTCGGGTCCCTCCGGGCTCTGCTGCCTGGCCTTCCTCCCTGAAGTTGTGATGATGCAGCTCCTGCACTCGGAGACCATCCACGGCTCCCCCTGGGTGTTAACTAAGGTTCTCAGACACAGAACCAGTTCCTTCATATAGAAAGAGAGCAGTGTAAGAAATTGGATTGCACAACTATGGAGACCCTGATCAATCCCAGGATCTCCAGCCTGGAGACCCAGAGGAGCCAATGGTGTAGTTCCAGTTTGAAGTCCGGCAGGAAGAGCCCATGTTTCAGTTCAAATCCGAAGGTTGGAAAAGACCAATGTCCCAGCTCAACACAGTCAGCCAGGAGAAAATTCCCCTGTGTTTGTGGGAGGGTTAGCCTTTTTGTCCACTTCAGGAAGAGCCCACGATTAGAGTTTGAAGTTAGAAAAGACTTATCTTCCAGCTTGCAGCTAGGCAGGAGGAGCTCCTTAATACTTGTGGGAGCACCAGCCTTCTGCTTGGTCCTTCAACTGATTGGATGTGGCCTACCACACGAGGGAGGGCAATCTGCTTTTTCTGTCAGATGGCAGATTGAAATGTCACCGTCATCCAGGAATACACAAGAATAATGTTTGGCCAAGAATGTCTGCCCGCCTCCTGCCCCCATGGCCACATCCAGTTGACACATGAATTCTAGCACCACACACGGCTATGGTGAGACCCCAGACCCTGCAGCTGGCAAGCAGGGCCCTGCATGAGCTGGTTCACTTCTTTGTGCACTTTGCTCATCTTTTCACTTTTTCACTTTTCACTCCACAAATACCTGTGCAAAGGAAGTGGAAGTGAAGGACTTTTCCCAGGGCATCTGCTGCACTGGCCATGGCCATGGGCATGCAGTGGGATCTCAGGTTGGCCTCAGGTGCCCTTTTCTCTCATTGTCCCCAGTAAATATACATGCACTGCTTTTGGAATAAGGCAGGAATGTGGTGTTTTTTTTTTTTTTAAAGAAAGATGACCTGATTTAAATCTTACTCTACAGCCCCATTACATTTTGGATTCCGCCCCTGGTAAAGAGTCCCATGCTTACTCCCATTGTGGAGACCGATGGGAGGCTCATCACCTCGCCAGGGTGACCATTGCACGTCTTTCAAGGCAACAGTTCCTCATCACTGGAGCTGATCTGCAGAGGCTGGGTCTCAAAATGACCCCATTATCATGCTTTCTAAAGACATTTTTACTCTTAGAATGATTTAGGAACTTGTAAGATTTACTTGAAGCCACATTTGTTTGCACGGCTCTCCTGTGAGCCTTCATGAGTGACCTCTTCACAAGCCCCACGCCCTGCCAACGCCCTTCCCTCTGATTACTGACTCTGCAGTGGAGGCCGGCTGACTCTACATTTAAGCCCTGTCCTCTCTCTCTCCCTGTAGTGCTTCACCGATACAGACACATCCTGGGCTTGTGGCAGCCGGATATTGGGCCGTATGGAGGACTGCTGAACGTGGTGGTAAGTCTGAAGAGCCTCGGGCCTGGATTCTTGTCGATGGGACTTTGTCCACCTGCCCGAGGGGCAGACCAGAGCAGTTCCCACCTGACAAATAGTCACAAAGACTCATCGGGCCAGGTGTTATTTTCTAATGAGCCAAGATTGTTCTAAGTAGTTCTTGGCCCCCGCCACATCCAGGGACATCATGATGCCAAATGCCTTACCTGGTCCCTGCCTCTTGGACGCCAAAAGCCATTGATTGTCACAGGCCCCGGACACTCCCGTCTTGGGTCGTGCACTGGTCCTTTGCCCTAAATTAGGGTCTGAAAGGACAGGAGGCAGCATGGTGCCCTCAGAGGCTGGCCCTGGATGGAAGGCCCATGCTGGCTCCACTCTAGGGACCGCACGGCACAGGCGTGGGGTTGTGGTAGGCACCTGTCCCTCCTCTGCAAGCCTGCCCCCTGCCTCCTCAAGCAGCATTTTAACTTCCCTTTATTCAGTCTTTATGGCTGGTCCCAGCAGGAATGGCTGTTAGATATAAGCTTCTTGGTGGTAGCCAGGAGAAAAGTCTTTTGGTTTTAATCTTTATATGCTCCCTGATGACTTGCCTATCTTATGTAAAAAACTAGCTGATCAGTTTTTGGGTCCGTTTGAACAAATCCAGACCTGACTTTCCTTGGCTTTAACCGGAGTAGGCATCGAGGAGGACACGGCCCTCACTGGTATTCTTGCTGGCACAACTACAGCCTCCAGGACAGAAGCAGGGCGGGGCCTTGTACTGAGCTCCAGGTGGGCGCCCAGGCCTTGGTGTCACTGTGGCCGGCGGTGCAGGGAAGACCAAGCCAGGGGTCCTTCGGGCAGCCTGGTGTCCGTTCTGCTTGCCTCTCGCTGCACGTATGCCCGGCGGGCCGGAAGCCTGAGTCCAGGGCTCTGGGCGCAGCTCGGGTCACGGCTGGCGGGTCTGCCTTGCTGCAGCTCTCGGGGCCCCGGGAGCCTGGTTCATGTGGACTGCCAGGTGACTCTGGTGACTCTGGGTTTTGCTCACCAGGTGGGGTTTGGTTAGGGATAAATATTGCTTCATATTCTTTATAATGTGGTGGAAACATCTGTTGAGAAACTCGCTTCACATTTATTTAATATTAATACCGCCAGGGAAGCCTTGCTGTTAGAATGTTCTCCCGGGGACAAGCCAGACAGCTCCCAGCGTGGGCACATCCATCCTCTCCTTAGTTTCAGGCCGGGAGGGGGTCATTGCTTTTCTTACCAGCAGTGAGTAACAGAGTTGTGTGTGGTTTTTTTTTAAGGGCTTCTGAAAGCAGGGGATAATCAGGGGAAAGTAGAGCCCATGACAAAGCACTGCCAGCTAACCCCCCTCTCAGACAATTAGTGACTGAGCTCTGTCCTCCTCTGTCACTGGGGCCAGAAGCTGGGGACTCAACCCCCAGGGAGGCAGGACTGAGCGGGGGGCCACCGTGTGGGTGGCAGAGGCGCCCCCGCCTCTGCACGAGAACGTGCGCTTGCTGAGTGTGGTGCCCGGGGACTGCCCCTCCTTTGTCCCTGTCACTGCTTTTATCATGTGGCACTCTAAACACACATGGGGCGGCAGGGTGACGCCCAGATGCCCACCTCCTGGCAGCTGCCCTGGTGCCAAGTTCACGGCCCCTTTGCCTTTTCTTTTCAGTATTTTAATGCAAACCCCAGGCCCCTGTCAGTCCATGTTTGTGCTTCAGCGTGGGTCTCTAACTCTGGCACTCACACACGTGAGGTCTGACCACAGCTCACTAGAGCGGCACTGGTCCTCGGGTCACCTGAGGCCCCGTCCATGCTCGGGGCTCCCTGCCTGTCTCAGACCCACCCTCAGCTGCTGGCTCGGCCACCTCAGGATCTAAGCCAGGCCCTCCTGCTGCTCGTTGGTTTTGGCTCCTGAGTCTCCGCTGGCAAGAGCAGCGCCCCGATTCTTCTCGGGTCAGCTGCCCCGTTGGGGGTCGCTCTCTGAATCGCTCCTGCTCCTGGTGTCTTTGGCTCCCCCCCGCCATCCCCCATGCCCACTTCGGAGCTGGACGCTCTCTCTAAGGCTTGCTTGGATCCAGGTCTCACCACTGTATTTTCTAGTTAAAAATTAGTTAATTTCTTCAGCTTGGTTTAGTATAGTTACCAAAACTGTGAGGTCCATAAAGTGTACCTTGTGGCGATTTGAGGCACAAGTAACATCATGGAAGGAGTCGCCCTTCCAGTTAGTCAAGGTACCCATCACCTCACAGTTTGATCCCTTTGCGAGGGGTGGGGAGAACTGTGATTTCTGTTTCTCAGCATATTTCAATGATGTGACAGTGTTACCAGCTTTAGCCACCACATTTCACGTTGGGTAAACTACTTAAACTAGTTATTTAATTAATAATTAATTAATGGCAGGAGAAGCTGTGCTCCTCCTGCTGCTCTGGGTCCCTGCAGGACTGGAATGTGGATGCGGCTGGTCCTCACTGTTGGGGGGGGGGGTTAGGGCGGGGATACTGTGCCTCACCCACCCCCACCATCACCCTCGTGTGGACCTGCGTGCAGGTGGACGGCTTGTTCATCATTGGCTGGATGTACCTGCCTCCCCACGACCCTCACGTGGACGACCCGATGCGGTTCAAGCCCCTGTTCCGAATCCACCTGATGGAGAGGAAGTCGGCCACGGTGGAGTGCATGTACGGCCACAGAGGGCCCCACAACGGCCACGTCCAGGTGAGGCTGGGGCTCCTCGCTGCTCCCTGGGGCCCAGTGCCAGCTGCCTGCTGGGGTCTTCCCAGCAGTGCCCCCTGCCCGGGTCAGTCAGCAGGAGTGGGGATTCAGGCTTGGCCCAGTCCTTCTGGGTGCTGTCGACGCTGCTGCCCCGCCTCAGAGATTCACTAGCTGGAGCCGTCCCTGCTTCTGCCTCCATGTAGAACCATTTGTCCTTCCAATCGAGGTTCTTTTCTCCTTTTTTGCAAGGGTGTCTGCTTGGAATAAGACATTTTACTCTTGGGTGTGGGCCTGGCAGATAGCCACTCTCGAGCGAGTGAGCAAGCGGGCGTCCTCCCTGTCTCAGTAGGAGAGTGCAGCTCTAGGACGCCCCCTGGGAGCAGCAACGCCTCCCCCTGGAAGGAAACCTGCGCTCAAGGGGGTCCTGAGTACCCTTCTAGGACTGCCCATGATCTGGTGGCCTCTGGGGCCCCCAGATGATGGGGGCATGGGAATGGGCGGGGCTGATGCACCCCTGCTCTGAGGGTGCCACTGGGGCTCACTGGTGACCCTCTCTCCATCTTGTGGACACTCAAGATCGTGAAGAAGGACGAGTTCTCCACCAAGTGCAACCAGACGGACCACCACAGGATGTCTGGCGGGCGGCAGGAGGTGAGGCCGACCCTTCTGTCCCAGGGGGTGACGTGAGGGTGGACGTGTGAAGGGAGGCTGCCTCCCAGGCTCATCCTCGTAGTGTGGATGTGTGTGCCGGGCTGAGGATAAACACGCCGAGTAGAAGTGGTTCTCTGACTGCTTCTCCATCGCCCCTTTGACCAGAGGCCCAAGGGCTGTGGGGTCTCATCACAGGTGTGAGTTGCAGGGAGACCAGAGGCTTTATCGGGATGAACCCCTTACGGCCAGAGGCTGGGCTGCCTGAGGTGCTGGGGGGTCCACCCCAGAGTCCCGGGGCAGGGAGCTTGCCGTCTGGCCCACAGTCACTCTGTCCATCTCAGCTGCCTGGGGTCTCTGTGCTGGCTCCTTCTGCTCCATCTCTCCACCTCTCTTTGTCTTTCCTCCAAGTCGGGAGTTGGAGGATGAGGTTCTTCGCATGTCAGTTGAGACGTCTTCATTTAGCTGAGTCTTGCCAACCTAGAGAGTGGCTTCAGGCTCCAGGGGAAGAGGGGTTCTGATGGCTCTGAAGATAAGGTGAAAGCCTGAGCCGCCCTGTGCTCTGATGGTTGATAAAATTCTGGGCCACTGTGGTGCTTCCTAAGGGAGTGGAGGACTCCTGGTGGCCTCAGAGGGCAGGAAGGTGAACGGGCTGTGCTTATCACTGTCTCCAGGCGGAGACCTGTCCTTTGCCCCTGCAGGCCCTACTGGCTCTCACCCCTCCCTCTGCTCAGGAAGGAAGCCCCACCCCAGCCCTTCTCTGCCCTTACCAACGCCCAAAGCCTGCTCTGCATAAACTGCATCCTGAGGCTTGCCAACACCCCGCCTCCACCTCCACCTCCCCACGCTCTGGCCCCAGACTCCAGTTCTGGGTTACCTACTAGCTTTGCGCCACTTCCAAGGCCACATCCAGACTGTCTTGGCTCCCTCAGGACTGGGGTGTTTGGCTTGCTCCTTACCTGCCCCCCCTCACGCTGCAGCCTTATCTCTGGGCCCCTGAGGGCAGTGCAGGGCCTTGTCTTCCCAGACCCCAGCCTTGCGCCTGTTGTCTGACTTCCATTGCTGAGGGTGCCTGCTTTCTTCCTGGATGGGATGGCGAGGCTGAGCCACAATACCCACCCCCATCTGTCCAGACCCCGCGGCCTGAGGCTTCTGGAAATCGGAGAAGGGGGGAGCTGTGAGGAGGAGCAGGGATGGGAAAGGGAGGAGAGGGTGGCGGGTCCCACTCGTGGTGTGCTCGGCCATGCAGAAAGCCTGTGGCGCTGGACGCCCTCAGTTGCACACAGTTGGTTTTATTTTGCTTTCCTTTGTCTTATATACTTTCTCACCACCTTCCCAAAATGATACTTCCTGAACTATCACCATCAGATGCAGAATGCTCAGAATCCGGAGGGAGAAGAGTGCTGACGTGGCCCCACCAGGGTGGCCTCCAAGTCCATTCTCCATCATCCCTTGTTTCCCTCGGCCTTTGTGATATCACTGTGGTCTGTCTAATTTGGATAGTTTTTCTGTTTTTTCATTTTCGTTTGTTTGTTTTTTAGCTTAACTGGTATTCCAGAAACATTTCCCAGTCTCATTAGTATTCTTTACAAACTTTTTTTTTTGACTGTGCTGTGTCACATGCGGGATCTTAGTTCCCTGACCAGGGATTGAACCCATGCCCCCTGCATTAGAAGCACAGAGTCTTAACCACCAGATGGCCAGGAATGTCTCTGCAGACTTTAGTATTTATGCAGCGTTCTGTTCATCATCTTGCTTTGGTGTAACAACAGTAGGTGTATGACTGTCCTGCAGTCGGATGTGGGGTTTGAGCTCAACTGTTCCCCTGTCATCTTCTTGACTACATGCTCAAGTGACCTGCCCTCCGGGAGCCTCAGCCCTTGTCTGTAAAACGGGGCCCTGAGATTGCCTATGGTCATAGGTGATTTGGAGGATTGAGTGGTCAATGGCTTAGAGGCAGGCCTGGTTGGAGCCACCCAGGAGAGATGCTGGGCATTATTTTCGTGACTGCTGCCTGGACTCTGCAAAAGCGGAATTGTATAAAAGGCCCTGAAGGTACTCCAGATTGTACTTTGGATTGTTTTCATACGCTGTCAGTTTGCTGGTCCCTGTTTACAGCCCACCGTGACGCATGGGGCCCTCTGCCCTGCTGCACTCCTGCCAGCCCTGGCGTTGGCTGTGGCAGAGATGAGATCAGTGAGCATGTGGCCTCGGGTTATTAGCTTTAATTCTGTTATCTGCTAGCTGTGTGGCTCTGGAAAGTTCTGTAGACCAGGGAAGATGTTAGCACCCAGCTCCTAGGCCACTGTGTAGAACGAGGTGATGGTGGTGGGGTGTTGACTGTGGTGAACCAGCCCTGGATCTGTAATGGACTTCTTGTCTGATATGTTCTAGGCCCCTGTGTTTTTCTGTGTGGATACATATCTGATGAGATAATTTCATAGTGAGCGTATCTGTTCTGAGTAATTGGGTCTGGTTGGTATTCCTAATGACTGACCTCATGTGAAGGAAATAAGATTATGACGGTTCACAAGCCAGTTTCTTGGCTCTCAGCTCAAGTCTGATTATGTGCCGTGGCAGCACTGAAATCCTTGCTCGCTACATTCCCTCGCCTCCATCTTCATCTGTTATTTCTCTATTTGATTTTTTTTTAAGGGCCTTTCCTCCATGAGCTCAGCCATGTAAGTTATTGTTTTACCCCCAGACTGCAAAGAGAGTGTGTTTCTCTCTGTTGTTTTCAGGAGTTTGGTAGCTTCACGTTACATTTTGGTCTGTGGCCTGTCTTGAATGGTTCCTGTGTGTGGCGGGGATCGCTTCTTTGTTCCCTGTCATTGTCTGGTTTGTGCCCCATTTGTGGAAAAGAAAGACTTTTTCCCTGTTGGGTGGCTTGGATGCTGTGGTTTAAAGTCCATTCCTGAGACACACGTGGGTGTTTCTAGGCTCTCTCTCTCTCTATTTTTTTTTTTTTTTTGGCTGTGCCACATGTCTTGCTGCATCTCAGTTCCCTGACCAGAGACTGAACCTGGTCCATGGCAGTGAAAACTCAGAGTCCTAACCACAAGACCACCAGCAAACTCTCTCCAGGTCTGTCCTTAGCTCTGACCTCACGCTCAGCCACCATCTTGGTTACTCTCGCTTTGTAGTGAGTCAGTCACACTAGCCTGCATCCTCTAGCCTTGTTCTTTTGCAAGGTTGCTCTGGATGTTCCAAATGGATTTCAGAATCAGCTCGGGTGTTTCTCCGGAGAGCCTGATGGGATTACGGCTGGCCTGGTGTTGAGTCTTTAGGTCAATTTGAGACAGTTGTGACCTAATACTGAGTCTTCTGGTCCACAGGTGTCTCTGCCCTGTGGGCCTCTTCACCCCCTTTCAGCAGCATCTTGGGGTTTTCGGAGTAGAAGTATCACCCATGCTTTGTATTCATTCCTAAGTCTGTGTGTTTTTTGAGGCTGTTGTAAATAGGATTTTAAAACTTTCATTTTCCAATTTTGTTCTGTTAGTATATAAAAATTCAGTTGATAATTATTTATTGACTGTGTATTTCTAACAGTTGTTTATTTCGATCACTAAGTAATTTCTTTTCTTTGCCAGGGTTTGGGCAGTAACATATTAAAGCAGTTGACAGATAGTAGCTTTTTTTTTTTTTTTTTGGTAAACTGTCTTTGCTTCTGTTTGTAGAGTTAATTCTAGATAGTCACTGGAAACACTGTACTGAGTTAGGAACACATAACTGTGGATTAGCAATATTGAATGTACCGAATGAAACAATGAAGCACTAAATATCCTTTGCATAGCTTGATGCCATAATGAATTATGGGGCTTTGTGGATGCACTGTTTATAAAAGTTTTCTTTTTACAAATACACTTACTGACCATAACTAGGAAGACACCTTTTAAAAAGGAAAGTCCACCCATACTCTCTACCCTGCCCATCCCTGTCCTATACTCACTGGGGGCTGCAGAAAGCAAACTCGGCCAGCACGGGGGTCTGATGCACCCACTCCCCCAGAAGCCCGACAACCAGTGTAGATGCCACCGTCTAGTTGGCATGGAAGCGAGGCTTGCAGCAAGTGCTGTGGCCCCAGCCTCCCCGAAGGACGCCCATGGTCCCTGTGTGTCCTTCCCACTGAAGTTGAGAACATGAGGACCAGAGCCCCGGGTGCCTCAGCAGGGAAGGGAGGCTGGAAGCTGGGAGAAAGAATGCATGCACTCCCGTCCCTCCTGCCCAGCTTCCGTCTTCATGCCGTCCATGTGCCATCACAGCAGGCAGCCTCTCCGCGCCCTTGTGTCGGGGTGGTTTTGTGACCTGTGTTCTCTTGGAAGGAATTCCGCACGTGGCTAAGGGAGGAGTGGGGCCGGACGCTGGAGGACATTTTCCACGAGCACATGCAGGAGCTCATCCTGATGAAGTTCATCTACACCAGTCAGTACGAGTGAGTGCAGCTCCTGGCTGGGGGCGGGCAGTCTCTCCCTCTCAGGTGCTGTGTGCACAGGCCCTCTCTTCTCAGTGCTGTGAACACAGTCCCTTTGGGTGCTGTGAACACAGTCCCTCTCTTCTGGGTGCTGTGAACACAGTCACTCTGGGTGCTGTGAATGACGGCCTTCTCTTTGGGTACTGTGAACATGGACCCTCTGGGTACTGTGAGCACAGTCCTGCTCTCTCTGGGTACTATGACCAGAGGCCCTGTCCCCTGACCCACCTTAGTATCTGTTTTCTGCCTGTCTGACCACCATCACCCACCAGCTGTGTTCTCACAGGCCTGGCCTGTGTGTTAGAGCCTCATGTTCCCTTCCCCATGTCGACCTTGGCAGCCTCACATCTCCCCCTGCTGTCATGCTCTCTGCCCTTGGACCCTGTCCTGCTGCCTCTGTTTAGCGTCTTGGCAGCCTCAGGAATCCCCACCCCAGGGTGTGCCATGCACCCATGCATTGGGGTGAGTGGAGCTCAGGAAGGAGGGGTGCCCCTGCTCCCACGGGCCTTGGGGGGGACCTAATGCTGCCCACCCTGTGTAGCGTGGCCAGCGGGCGTGAGCCCCGTGTTCTGCCCCCACGCCCATGGGCTGTGCCAATTGTGCTCTCATGCTACCCCTCTTCCCCCGCACAGCAACTGCCTGACCTATCGCCGCATCTACCTCCCGCCCAGCCGCCCGGATGACCTCATCAGGCCGGGCCTCTTCAAGGGCACCTATGGCAGCCACGGCCTGGAGATCGTCATGCTCAGCTTCCATGGGAAGCATGCCAGGGGCACGAAGATCACGGTGGGTCCCAGGGGCCGTCTTGCCGGGCCTAGCACCACGTGGCTGTGATCACATCATCCTGGCGTAGGGCGGCTCGGGTTGTGCCCCAGCTAGTCACAGCGGGCCCCAGACTGTGGCAGCACTTCCCCGGGGGGCTTGCCGGGAACTTGGCGTCTTGGGCCCCACCTGGACCTGCTGATTCAGGGCCCACCTTTCACACGATCCCCTGGGGATTCTGAACATTTCCAAGGCAGCCTTTCCTGCACAGTCCTCAGCTCTGGCCACACCCCAGGATCCCTGGGGAGACAGAGAAAACCCTGATGCTGGCCCTACCCCAGAGGCTCTGACCTAATGGGGGTAGGCTGGGTGGGGGGCTCCAGGAGCTCCCCAGGTGACCCTCTGCTTTATCACTTGGGCCCCCACGGCCTGTCTGGGCCTCAGCAGCTCGGGAACACGCTGGGAGGGCTGCTGAGCTGAGTGGGGGCCCTGGATGAAGGGCCCCTTGTTGCCTCTTCCAGGCATACAATCTGGGCTGGTGTTTCCGGCTGTCCCTCCCTGACCGGGGAGGGTTCGCAGACCTCTCAAGGCTCCATCACATCAGCTGTCAACATAGGGTGGCTCCCACCCAAGGTCTTCGGTGTAGGGGTGCTTGTGGGCCCTCCCAGGGTCACCCGTGGGTACTGTCATTCCCTGTCCTCAAAGGCCTTTCACAGGAGGCTGCCTGCTCTGGGCACTGTATTTTTTTTAAAGGACATATCAGATATTCTGACTGGTAAGGGGTCACTGCCAAACCAGTGGTAAGGCTGATCAAGCACCCTCAGCCGGAGGCAGGACTGGGGCTGGAGGCTCAGCACAGTCTCTGAGCCTGCTGACGGCTGCACACTGGCTTCACAGGGCGACCCCAACATCCCTGCCGGGCAGCAGACGGTAGAGATTGACCTCAGGCACCGCATCCAGCTGCCTGATGGTGAGAGCCTGCGCGACTTCAACGAGCTCTCCCGCGTTGTCCTGGAGGTGCGTGAGCAGGTGCGCCAGGAGCAGGAGCAGGAAGGCGGGCCTGAGGATGTCGAGGGCCTTGGCCAGCAGAGCCCCCAGCGCTGTGAGGAGCCTCCCGCCGAGCCGGCCCAGGCGCCTGGGGACAGAGGGGCTGCGGCCGCAGCTGAGCCACTTGCCCAGTCAGGGCAGGGGCAGCCGTTCGTGCTGCCAGTGGGCGTGAGCTCGAGGAATGAGGACTATCCCCGGACCTGCAGGATGTGGTAAGGATGGGGGCGTGGGCTTCTGGGGTCCCCTGCCAGACCAGCACAGAGGCAGCCTGGCATGGGGCCGACCCCGCGCGGGGCGGGGGGCATTGCACCGTGGGAGGCTCTGCCCATGTGTTCCAGGTCCCGGGTGGCCTGTGCCACTCCCTGGGCCCCATGCCGAGCTCCCCAAAAGCGATTTAGGCATTGGTGCGGACTTGACAGACAAAATCCATTACATCCTCTTCATGTTAATACTGTTGTGATAAAAGAGGCTGAATATGGGTTTTCCAGAGGGAAGCCTACACAATAGTGTTCCAGTGTAACTTCACCTGCTGTGAATTTTTGAAAGTCATAAAGAAGACAGATCTCATGTCCCTGGGAAACTTGACAACTTGCAGCATCTCACGGCTAGCTCAGAGCCCTTGGGCAGAGCCGGCCTGGAAGCTCTGGTCCAGCCACGGCTATGTCACCAGAGCATCTCTACCCCAAGCTGAGTATAGTAGGGGCTTGGCTGGGAGGGGTGCATCCGTCCCCTGGCCCTGCTGCAAAGCCTGTGCAGCACATGTGTCTGTGTGTCCAAGCTTGGTGCCCAGAAGCCATCAGAGCTGCAGGCCCTCAGGCACAGGGCTGCTGTCCCCTCCCGCCCAGCAGAGCCTCAGTGCGGCAGGCAGAGGTGAAGTCCTGGGCATTATTCCACACAACGGGAGGGTCAGGCCAGTCCTAACTCCTCGTCATCTGTCAGAAATACTGAGTTCTTTGCAAGAGACATAAACGCATTAGAGCCCATGTCTCCAAATGTGGCTGTAATGGGTATTTGCAAGTTTTGCTTTTTACATGCTGATAAGTCATTGATTACATTTGAGTTGTTCACATGTGCACGTGACTATCCCGGGAACTGAGATTTCTGTTGCCTGGGTCTGTGCCATGAAGAAATGCACTTTGGGGCAGCAATATGGGGGGGAGCTGCCTGGGACCCTCGTCCTTGCGTTGGGTGAGTTGGTAGAGAGCTGCAGTCAGTGGGGTGAGCCCAGCTGTCCGGGGCGAAGCAGCAGGCCTGCTCACGCCCTCTAAGTGAATGCCAGCCTCCCTGAGGATGCCAAGCCCACCAGCGACTCCGTGGATTGCCTGCTGCTGGAGGATGGTAGACGTATCTCATGTGGGATGTCGGGGGGAGGGGGTGTTCCAGAATGTCCCGGACCATGAGGTGATGGGCCTGGGCCACTGTGCGCCTTCAAAGGCCCCACTCACCCTCTGTCCCCACGCTGTCTTATTTTTGTTCAGTTTCTACGGCACCGGTCTCATCGCCGGCCACGGCTTCACCAGCCCTGAGCGCACCCCTGGAGTCTTTGTCTTATTCGACGAGGACCGCTTCGGGTTCATCTGGCTGGAGCTGAAGTCCTTCAGTCTCTACAGCAGGGTCCAGGCCGCCTTCCGGAACGCAGACGCCCCGTCCCCGCAGGCCTTTGAGGAGATGCTCAAGAACATCCAGTCCCTCACCTCCTGACGGTCCGCCTCCCCACGGCGAGCGACTTGGGGCTGGGAGGGCAGCAGCATGCGCTCGGGGGGACTCGGCCAACACCCGACACCCCCCTGCTCGCAGGAGCCTTGGCGTGGCCGCCCAGATGCTTTCCACGGAGCGCACCGCACGCCTGCATATCCGCCAGTAGCAACAGGAGGGCTGAGCATGTTTTGAAAAAAAAAAACAGAACCAGAACAAACTGACCTGGAGGACGGGCCACGGGGTGTGTAGGGACTGAACTGGAGAGACTGGCCGTTTTCTAGGGAGAACACAGTCCTCCTCCAGGGAGGGTCACTCCGTATGCATGGTCTGCTGCCTCCAGCTCATTGAAGGGGTCCTGGGGGAGGCGTGCTGGCTCCACCATCCCCTCTGCAGGGAGTAAGCCGGAGGGCCACGGTGGCTTCCATGCAGCCTGGGCGGGTGGGGGCGCTGTGTGTGGAATAGGAGCTCCGGGGAGATGGGGTATGGGGCTCGAGACCCACTTTTACACCTACTCGCTTGGATTTTGGACAAATGCACGTCACTCCAATCTCAGTTTCCAAGAGCAGTGAAATGGGGCCGGTGATATGGGTCACAAGGAGACGCCCACTGCAGGCCGTCCAGTAGCTCGGTGGCCCTGGTCCAGCACTGCCCGGCCCTGGTCCCTGCAGCACTGGGTGCCTGCCTGGCCTCTCTCAGGTTTAGAACCGAGACCTGCACTGCAGCTGTTCTGACAGGCAGTCACTGAGCGCCCTCCCCGCTCCCCCACCCCACCCTCACTGGTGTGAGACTGCGAGTTGCAGCCGCCAGTCTCAGAACCGGGGACAGGGCCTCTCGGAGATGACCCACGTCTGCTCCCCTGCGTGGTTTACGAGGTGCCACTCTTGAAAGGGGCGAAACATCGGGAGGGCTCATGCCATGTGTTTGACGCCCCTCTGCAGGGGAGAGGGCAGCTTTCTGGAAGTGTCAGGGGACCAGGCCCCTCCAGCGTGGAGACGCTGGGCGCTGACCCTTCTGCTGGCACTGTCCCCATTGTCGTGTTGACCCCTGCATTTGGGAACCCCCACGAGGCCTGATCTTGCCATCCCCTGAAAAACGGAGCCCCGTGTGCCCGGGCACAGACCTGCTGGAGTTCTGCTCAGCCCTCCCTGCCACCTGCCAAGCATCCCCGCACCTGCCTGCCGGGGCCGGTGGCTCCCCGGGGTGGATGGACTCTGCCGCGTCCCAGCTGCTTGTCCTTGTTGGGTTCCCCAGGGAGGGGCAGGGTGCCTTCATGTAGAGCCCAACCTGAGGTGCCCCATGAAATGTGTCCTGTGTTTCCTGGTAGAGTTCTTCCTGACCAGCTCTTTTCTCAAATAACTTCAGTCCCAGCTTCAGTCCATTTGGCTACTTGGGCCTTCCTTCCTTTGCTGCCCAGAAGCAACAAGCTCTGGGCATGGCCCTGAAATGCAAACTAGGCTTCCCAGGACCAGGACTCTGGGGTCCACCCTGGGCCATCGCCGGGCACCGTCGGCCAAGTCTCATCAGAGACACCACCGCACACCTCCCAGATCCTTCCAGCAGGACTCGCGGTCGGGTGGGGACGTGGTCCCAGTCCCTGCATCTTGCAGGACTGAGCCTCAAAGCCTGTCGCCCTCCCCCCTCTCACAGCGTGGCTGTTCTTCTCTTGTGCCAAGTGTGGCTGTCCCCAGTGGTGCAGTCACAAAGCCTTGAGGACAGTGAAAACAGAGGACAGCTGGGCGCTCGGCTGTTCCTCTCTAGGTTTCACCACTGTTTAAGTAAAATCAAGAAAATGCGTGTTTTACCCAGAGCTAAGAGACTGTCTCTGTCTGAGGCCCCCAGCATTGTTAAGACGAGCACTTCTGATTAAAAACCAACCCCAAACTAAATGCTGTCCTGCCTTTAGTGTCTGGCCTACGCATGGTTGCCGCTAACAGCGACTAAAATAACCCTGGGCTGCTGGCTGCGTTCATGTTGGCCTCAGTTTCGGGTGTCAGGTGGGGCCTGTGGGTGGCAGCGGCCTGGGTGTCGCCAGGCAGGGCAGCAGGAGTGAAGGGCGTGGGCTTGTCATCCACCCCGAGGTCTCCTAGTCTCCCACTGTACTTAGTTTCCAGTTCTGGAAGCCCCAGTTCCCAGTTCTGTAGGTGAGGTGCGTGGACAGCGGCGGTTCTGTGCATAGATCCAGTACCGGCCACTCCCCCTCATGGAAGGTCAGCCGGCCCAGGAGGGGACCTTCCAACCAGTTAACTCACTGTGGGCAAGGATTCAAAAAGGCTGAGGGTGTTGTCTGAGGCTTTGGATAAAGCCGGTTCCAATGGGGATCTCTAATGACCCAGGTTAGGGACTGGCCATGCTCCTGTGGGGCTTGAACTGGGGGTGGCAGGTGGACCTCGGGCGGTCTTTGGATGTTCCCCAGGGTGGGCATCACCTTCACTGCTACTTTTGCTGCTGTGAGGTTGGGTATGGGGTAGAGGAAAGCTTGGGTACCTCTCTGCATACCTGGAGAGCTCCACGCTCTGGGAGTTGATTAGAAACGTGATTGGAGATTTCAGACACAGGTCATGGGGATTCTTCATTTTGGGGCTGGAGGTGTTTGGTGTGAGGTTGTGGCAAATGACCTTATTTTTTTGGCTTTGTGATGTAGGCCTGGCACTATACCCAGATCTGTTCCTCGCCCTCCCCCTGTGCCTCCCAGGGCTCAGAGCTCCAGCATCTAATGCTGGGTGTGAACAGGTTTAGGGGCATTGTGGTGGGAGGGTTTCAGTCTCCTTCCTCTGTCGGTTCAGACTGGGCCTCCCTTCCTAGCCTTGCCCTGGCCCCTCCTCTGGGACAGTCCAGCTCACTGTGGCTGGTGCTCCAGGCCGCTGCTGCCCGGCTCCTCCCCTTGTCCCCTCTGGCCCTGACACCAGGCCTGGTGTCCCCACTCCGTTCAGGGCACCTGTGTCCCTGGCTGATGAGGAGGGTGGGAGAGCGTACAGCTGTCGTAACTAGCTACATTCCCACTGCCTGCAGAACAAGCTCAGAGGTGAAGCTGTCCTGCCTTTCTCACTGACAACTTGGCATCGTTCCCAGACAGCCAGACCCCTCCCTCAGCCAGCCGCCCTCTTGTCTGACACTTCAAGACTGCCTTCACTTTTCAGGTTGCCTGGGCTTTCTGCCACTGCCGCTGAGAGGTCTCTTTAGTGCTCGTGAGCCGAGCCGGAGCGGGTCAGAAACCTGCTCAGCCCCTTGTCATTTGGGGAATTCCCCGGCCTCGTGACTGTGGTATCTCGAGTGTGAACTGGGAGCACCTGACTGTGACTTGGTAGCTGTGTTCTCCTGGATACTTTCATGTTTTAAGTTTTAAGAATTCTCATGTGAGTGTTCTCATGTAACCCTCACCTGCCTTGAGGGTATGATGCCCCAATTCACGGACTCCATAACTCCATCTGCAGTGTATTTTGTATGTTCTCAGAACTATTTAGACAGAGAAGAAAACCACACTCTGTCAGTTTGCCTGATAATGTGAATGGGAACCACATGGAGGCCTGTGTCATTTACAGCTCAGCGGCCAGCAGGCCAGCCTTCTGGGGCCCAGGGTCACCAGCAGTGACACCTGAGGCTCCAGCAGAAAAGTAAGCTTCTTCTGGGTCCTTTCTGCTTTTGCAGGGAGACCTGCCAGAACATGCGAAGGGATGGGAACTTTTGCTTTTTTTTTTTTTTTTTAGCCTAATTCTAATTTTGGTTGTTGTTTGAGATCATGAAGCCTGCTTGGAGAAGAAAAACATTTATCCTGTTTGATCTTGAAACCCCACCCCCCAAGTGATGAAGACAACAGTTGAGATGGAGGCTGTGATCACTCAGGCATCCCCTCGGGCTTGCTGGGTGGGGCAGGCCCCCAGGAAGCTCTGACTTGTGACCAGGACTTGACAACCTTGGGGTGCTGTTTCTCCATAAAGCAGTTTTTGAAATCTTGTGCGCTTTGTAATTTGTTTCTTTTGCGATATGATTCAGATGGAGCCTGGAGCTCTAAGTGACATGGACTCTGGATGTGGGCAGGGGCCAATCACAGGAGAGTGGTTGTTGGTTGACAGAGGGGACTGGGTCACCAGTGCGGGGCTGGGGCCTTCCCAAGGGGTCTGTGCTTCTTACATCCAGTCTTGATAGTTGTGATTTTCCCCGTTATGAAACAGAGTGGTGAGTGACCCTTGGGAACCCAGACAGTGGTAGGCCCCTGGATCCCTCCCTTTGGTCTGGGACCTGTACCCTCTCCCCAAGGGTAGGGCTGCAGTGGGTTCTCTTAGTCTGAAGTCTAAGTAAGTTGCCATTTCTGAGAACAGAAGGGCGGGATAGATAAGGGCAGGGATGTGCTCAGTGGCTGAGCAGACAGCTGAGGAGCTCCTTTATGTATTATTTTCACCTGTTTACAAAAGTAATATTCTTGTGAAAAATTCAAATAGTGTACAAAGTAAAACTACATCATGTTCCCATCCAGCTGGGCCTGGATTCCTGAGAAGGGTTGGGGCTGAGTTCCACCCTCCATCTGGGGTGTTGCTTCGTTTCCCATCCCCGAAGTCACCGTGCTCACCCTTCCCCACTGCAGGGGGTTGCTTTGGCGGGCCTGGGGGCTTTTGCTCCCTGAGACCAGGTCCCTTTATAGCCCACCCTCTAGTGGGCCCTTCGGGTCACTGCATGCTGCATGACCCCAGCCAGCAAGGTGAAACCAACGAAGATATGCCTCAAGGGTAAAGTTTTCAGACCTTTCCCCTCACTTTGACTTGAAAATCCATAAGTGATGAAAGGCTGCCTCTCAGGCTCCTTCCCAGGAGAGGAAACTTGGGGGAAGGAGGGCTGATAGCTCAGCACTATTGTGGGAATGGTTGGTCTGTCCTTTTTTATTTCTTGGCTGTGATTTATGTAAATTTTTAGTGTAAGTTTACCAACACAGAGCTGTGAACAGGCACCATGGTCAGGATATAGACTGTTCCATCCTCCTCAAAATCCCTGGTGCTGCCCCTCCTTAAACTGCTCCTCTGTTCTCCATCCCTATCGTTTGGCCTTTCCTAGAATGTCCAATAAATGGAATTACTTAGTATGTAGCTCTTTTAACCTGGCTTCTTTCATTCACTATCATCTCTTTCCAAAGAGCCATTGTAGACATTTTTTCCCCTAATACCCCCCCCATGAATTTTTAATGCCACAGACATAGTTTATACATATGATAAGACATTTGTGCTTTCAAACTGTGGTGCTGGAGAAGACTCTTGTGAATCCCTTGGACAGTCAATCGTAAAGGAAATCAACTCTGAATATTCATTGGAAGGACTGAGCTCAAGCTGAAGCTCCAGTACTTTGGCCACCTGATGAGAAGAGCCAACTCACTGGGAAAGATCCTGATGCAGGGAAATATTGAAGGCAAAAGGAGAAGGGGGAGGCAGAGGATGAGATGGTTGGATGGCATCACTGACTCAATGGACTTGAGTTTGAGCAAACTCCGGGAGACAGTGAAGGACAGGGAAGCCTGGTGTGCTGCAGTCCATGGGGTTGCAGAGTTGGACAAGACTGAGCGACTGAGCAATGACAAAGTGCGTGGGTCTGTGTGGGCGTGGGAGCCCGGGTGGATGGCCGCCTCACCACGGAATGTCTCTCCTGTTCACAGAGTTCCACAATTCTATTGGAAGGCAAGCTCCCACGGGCTGCCATGAGTGTGGAGGAAACGGTGTGGAGGCCTCTCCTAGAGGATGCTTTGGTGATCTCAGGGCGAGTGCTTGAACGGGGTCCCTGCACCTTGGGGGTGGGGGTGAGACAGTGACACAGGCAGTTGGGAATAAGAAGACTCTCCTGGCCTGGCCGTGCTATTTCATAGTGCCCCAATGACAGTGACAGAAGGGTGACAGTAGTCCTGTGTCCCCACAGTGGACTGCAGGAGCTCACAGTGAAGGAGGGAGGAGAGGCCAAGACGCTGCTGTCACAGCCGCTGGAGAGAGGAGTCTAGGTGTCACGGTTGGTGGGGTGATGATGAAGCCTGTGGGCCTACAGGAAAAGGGTAAGGTTGGGGGCAGCAGAGTTGATGGCATGCCGGTCACCAGTGGGAACCTGTCACATCATGCAGGGCCCCCATCCGGGTAAAAAAGTGAGTCCTGTGTTCAGGGCTGTGATGGTGGTGGTGCCTGGTGTAATCTTGACCTGAACCACTGTGCAGCTTGGATTCAACCTCAGAAAGACCCAAAAGTCATGGGACATGAGAACTTAAAAATTACAGTTCTTGCTTAAACTTTATTTGAAAATCATGATTTCACTTAACCCACAGGATTTAGGTTTGTGAAAACTGTCACAGGTCAGTTAGGCAAGATGATCCTGAAATAACAAGCCAACCTCAAAACCAAACCACAACTTTTTGGTTCTTCTCTGGGTTACCAGCAATACATGCTTTTTTAGGAATGTTCTCAAAGATAAAGATATCTGTTCTCACACGGATACGTGTGAAGGAGAAGTGGCTGTCCTCCAGCTGCTGGCCGGGATGGCACTGTGTGTGTGTTTGTTGGTGTCTTCTGGTGGACATAAGCTCTATTATCTTGGGTGATTACCTGGGGTGGGGAATTGCTTGGTCACAGGATATTCACACGTTTAGATATTGTAAATACTGCCAGTTTGCCTATATGGTTTTAATCTGTTGTGTAAGGTGTGAGGGTTCCAGCTGCCACACCCTCTACAAACTTGGTACTGTCAGTCCTTTTAATTTTAGCCATTTTTGGTGGAAATGGTGATGAGTTGCACTTGATGTGAAATGGCATGACAGTGTCACGAGTGGTGAGGGCCAGTGCTTCTGTGGCGGCTGGGGGGCATAAACCTGTCTTCTGTGTTACCACGATATTCCAGTGGGCTCAGGAGAATAGAGATGACAAGGAATCCCAAGGGCCCTCCAAGGTTGGCAGAGATGAGAGAGCCATAAATAAAATACTAGGCTAATGGTGAGATTCCTTGATAAATTTTGTCATTAGCTATTAAGAGACCAGCGCTGACATTATTTATACAGATACACAGGTAAGAGGTGGTGTCTAAAATAATTAGCAGCTAAAAGACAGAATAAAATAAATAATTAGCATCTAATATAATGGGGGTGCTGCCCAATCAGCATGGGTGCTAGCCAGGAGAGCCTGCAGGGTGGGAACTGGCTGGAAGCTCAGACCTGTTCATAGGTCATGAACTTACCAGTTTAATAAAAGAGCCATGAAACCCGAGTAGTGCCTGGGAAATCCTGTTTGTCCATGGTTAGGTGGCAGCACATGGAAATGTGGCCCACCAGGGCTACCGTTGCTTATGAAGGTTTGATCAAGTATTAGTATTAATTGAGAATATTAAATTCAGCAAAAAAAGGGAGTTCTTTAGTGGTCTAGAGGTTAGGATTCCAGCCTTTCACTGCTGGGGCTGGGATTCAATCCCTGGTCAGGGAACTGAAATCTCACAAGCTGAGGTGTGGCCAAAAAGAAAAAAAAAGTTAGCAAACACTCTAAAGTTTGTTTCCAAGAGATACTAAAATCAGTTGTTCTGAATTCCACGGCCTTCGAACCCTCGGTTGCTTCAGAAACACACGTTCTCAAAAATCACAATTTGAGTCCGATTCAGCCAGTGCCACGCAAGGCGCCCAGTTAAATTTCAGCGTCAGAAAAACAATGAAAGACTTAAAATACAAATACGTCCCAGGTCCTGCGTGGTACACGTTCCTACCGAGATGCTCCGCGGTTCTCGAATGGGCCCTGGGGCCGCGTCGCGCACCTCTTTCTCTCCTTCCAGGGAACAGATACCCCGTCTACTGTGCCCTGCAGCCCCGCAGGCCCGTCTGCAGGAAACGGTGAGTGGGTTTTCCCGGGATCTGGCAGGGAAAGGTGTGTCTTCCGAGGCCGACGCCCACCTAGGCCAGGTCCAGACCACAACCGAAAAGTCTTCACCTGCGCCTAGCCCGCCCCCGGCCCGCCCCCGGCCCGCCCCCGGCCCGCCCCCGGCCCGCCCCCGGCCCGCCCCCGGCCCGCCCCCGGCCCGCCCCCGGCCCGCCCCCGGCCCGCCCCCGGCCCGCCCCCGGCCCGCCCCCGGCCCGCCCCCGGCCCCTCCCCGCTCCGCTGACGCAGAGCCCAATCAGATGCCAGGTAAGTAAACATGTATAGAATGAAGCATCTTATTGGCTAATAGAGAGCCAATCGACAGCTAATAGAGTCCTGTCGCCGGAAGAGCCTGGCCTCAGAGGAGCGGGAGGGCGGAAGAGGTGGGCCTTTCGAGGTCGAGGGCGGCCCCGGGGACTGACGGGGAGGTGTGTGGGGTTGTGTGAGGAGGGGCGGGGCCCGAAGGAGGAGTGACACGCGTGAGCCAGCCCCGACTTTCGTCACGGCTGTCATCTTGAGCTTCGTCACCGCCCTCACCATAACTTAGGAAAATCGTGGCGGGCATTTCTGGGAGCTCTCGGGTGTCCGTTCGGTCTGTCGGCGGGCACTCACCCCGAGCGCGTCATGACAGGCAGGTGCCTCCCTCAGTCCTGCACGCTGGGCCGCCGCGCCACACAAGGGACCTGGCACCCGAGTCACCTTGGGGGGCCCCACACCCCGAGTCACCTGAGGGGAATTCAGACCCTGGGTCACCTGAGGGGGCCCCGGAACCTGTGTCACCTGGGGAACACCGACCCTGAGTCAGCTGGGGCACCCCAGATCCTGAGTCACCTGAGGCGATCTGGACCTCGAGTCCACTGGGAGGCCACAGACCCTGAGTCACTTAGGGGGGCCCAGATATAAAGTCACCTGGGGGCCCTGGACCCAGAGTCATCTGAGGGAACCTGGACCCTGAGTCACCTGGGGAGCCCCAATAGCCTCAGGTCACCCCGTCCCATGGTAGCTTGTAAAAGGTAGGCAGGAAAGACACCACACTATATCATATAAGCAGGAAAGGCAATTCATTGACTAATTGAGGCTGTCAGGTGTAAGTCGTCAGGAGCCAATGTATACAAATACTTAAGGACTGTGGTTAGGGACTGTTTTCTCCCATCTTTCAGCTTTGTTTTCTTCCCCTCAGGGGGCAAAATGACCACCAAGACCTCTGGAAAAGATCTTACAACTTCAAGAGAAAAGAAAATTTCCTTTCCTAGTAATTTTAACACAAAGCCCCAGAATGAGGGAAGCCTGACATACTGCACCATGGGGTTGCAGAGTCGGACACAACTGAACAACAACAAGGAGAATGAGTTTCATTGGGTTGACTTGGGTTATGACATTCTGAGCCAGTCTCTGGGACTGTCTGGCTTCACGTTCTGGGCTGGAGGTTTGGCGTCCACAAAGGAAATAGCAATGCTCCTATGACTGTTAGGGGGCTTGGGTGCTGTGCAGGGCAACATCCCACATTCTGTGTTGTCAAGGATCAGGTGAGGGAGTTTAGCTCTGTGACCTGAAGCTATTACTGTAAATAGGTAGCAAAATAGTGATTATTATGATGATATCACTCTTACCATTTCCATGTTACATATGCTATTAGGAAAGCTGGACGTTTTGCTTTGTTTTGGATTTATGCTCACTGGACACTCTCCGTATGGTGGCCAGCATACTAGCAATTTGTTGTGGGGAGAATGGGGAAGAGTAACAGAATCTGTGTAGCTCCAAATGCTTTGTCATCCCAAGAGACAAAGCACCCAGTTTTTTTTTTTTTTAACTGCAAAGAATTTCATTAGATGTACGGTTTTGACAGTATTTTCCTTCAGAATTCTAAGTAAGCTCAGGGTGTATGATAAAGCGTGTGTTGTGGTTGGCAGCTACACATCTTGGAAAGTTCTCACCAGGTTGGAATGTTCCTGTCTTTCCCAAAGGTCCTAGCATAGGTTTAGCTGGAGTGTGCCTGGTGGTGGTGGTTTAGTCTCTAAGTCATATCCGACTCTTGCGACCCCATGGACTGTAGCCTGCCAGGCTCCTCTGTCCGTGGGATTCTCCAGGCAAGAATATTGGAGAGGGTTGCTATTTCCTTCTCCAGGGGATCTTCCTGACCCAGGCTGATTCCAGCTAAACCCTTTGGGGATGCAGGATTCCACAATAGCTCGACATATGGGAACCCTTAGACCTTAGCACGTGAGTGTGTATCTACCTGCTTCTGTTGTCACCCTCTGCCCCCTCTTAGGCTCAGAATGATGACCCCTTCCACTCTTGGGGGGCAGTTGACTAGGACTTCCCTGGTGGCTCAGAGAGTAAAGCGTCTGCCTACAATGTGGGAGACCTGAGTTCGATCCCTGAGTTGGGAAGATTCTCTGGAGAAGGAAATGGCAACCCACTCCAGTACTCTTGCCTAGAAAATCCCATAGACAGAGGAGCCTGGTAGGCCACAGTCCTTGGGGTCACAAAGAGTTGGACACGACTGAGCGACTAAACTTTCACTTTGACTTTCCACTCTTGGGGTTTAATGATATGAGCCAGGCTGGCTCAGGCTCTCACACTAGCATCACTGCCTCCAATGTACACAAAGTCCAGAACTTTCTAAGCCTTCTTCTTTTCTAGGAAAAGAAGCACATTTCCAGCCTTTGGGAAAGAAGTGTGTTGCATCGATCATTCGGTAAGGAAAGCAAACCTCAACTACTTTGCCGCAATCCTGACATGCCCTTTGGTGGGGAGTATTGCAGAAAATGTGGGTCCAGAAGCAGCATCTCATGAGAGGTGTGTCAGCCAGTGGGGTCCATGGTTTAAGGGGCCATGCAAGCCCCAAAATCTCTATATAGGGCCACCCACTGCCTTCCCCGCCCCTCAGTTCCTCATGATACCTTGAGACAGGGATTTAGGAGACCTGGGAGAACCAATGCTGCCCCTTAATGTATCTGTTGTGGGCAGCTCTGTCTGCTTCTGGAGAGGGTGACTTTCCTTCTCCCCCTGCCTGTGGGTGTGGTGGGATCATATGGGATGGATGTGGAAAGTTTTGCAAACAAAGTTCTGTATGCAGACTGATGTGGATAACCACAGAAAGAGCAGTCATCCACCCTAGAGTTGGTTGTATTTCTCCATTTTTAGAAAGAGAGATCCAAGACTTGCTTATGGTAATGTGGCTGTAGGTGACAGCACATCCCAGCACACTGGGTCTGCAGGCTCTGTGGTCCCCCTTCAAGTGACTTTGGAGCATCTCAGGACAGTCTGCAGTAGTTGAGGCCCCTGTCCCTGCCCTTGCCCTGGATGCCATGTCTTAACCTTGCTCCCTCCGAGTGTGGATTTACCATTCAGAGACTGCCTTGGCTTGCATCACTAATGCAGCATTGCATTAAATTCTGTTTTGTCTGCCTCTTGCTTAGATGTGCCCTCTCCCCAGCACTTTTCATCGAGAGCCCATCTGCTGTGAGTGTTTGGCCAAATTTGGGGGACACCTGCCAGTGCCCAGGGATAAGGCAGAACTGCCTTACTGGGTCCCTCTCTCCTTGAGACCCCAAAATAAGGTAGGTGACTTGAATCAGGGGTTCAGATTTATGGAGATATGCTTGACATGTATAAAATGGCACACATATAAAATGTCCCATTTGATAAATCTTGACATATGAGCACACCCATGAAACCACCACCATAATTATGATAATGTACAGTCATCTCTAGATATTCACAGGGGATTGGTTCCAGGATGCATGTAGATACCAAAATCCAGGGCGCTCAAGACCCTCATATAAAATGGTATAGTGCAGTACATGTACACAACCCTGAAAGGTTTCCTTGTACCCTTTTCAAAATTTATTTATGTTTTGCTGTGCTGGGCCTTCGTTGTTGTGCTCAGGCTTTTCCCTAGTTGAGGTGAGTGGGGGCTACTCTCTCGCTGCAGTGCGCGGACTTCTCATTGCGGTGACTTCTCTTGTGGAGTATGGACTCCAGTAGTTGCGGCTTGTGACCTCTGGAGTGTGGGCTCAGTGGTTGTGGTGCACGGGCTTAGTTGCTTCCTGTCTTGTAAAATCTTCATGAACCAGGGATTGAACCCATGAACCATGCATTGGCAGGTGGATTCTTACCTACTGAACCACTGAGGAAGTCCTCCTTGTTCCCTTTTGTAATTCCACTCAACCCTCTCTCCTCACAGTCCCCAGGCAACCCTGGGTCTGTTTCTGTCACTATAGATTCATTTGCATTTCCTTGAATTTTATATAAATGGAATCATATAGCATGTAGTTTTTTTGGTCTGGTTTCTTTTGTGGTGGTGGTGGTTTAGTCGCTGAGTCGTGTCTGACTCTTTGCGGCCCCATGGACTATATATAGCCCACCAGGCTCCTCTGTCCATGGAATTTCCCAGGCAAGAATACTGGAGTGGGTTGCCATTTCCTTCTCCAGGGACTTCTTTTACTCAGCATGATTATTTTTGAGATTCTTCTATATGGTTGTGTTCATTGATAGTTCATTCCTTTTTACTGCTGAGTAGTGTGTTGTTATATGGATAGACCATTCATCCAGTGAAGGACGTGTGGATCATTTCCAGTTTTTTTCTATTTTGTCCAACAAATAAAGCTGCTGTGAACATTTGTGTATAAGTCTTTGTATGAACATGCCTTCATTTTTCTTGGGCAAGCACCTGGGGAAGGCATTGCTACATTGTATGGGAGGTATATGTTTAACTTTCTAAGAAACTGTCAAGTGTTTTAAAAAATGGTTGTTCCATTTTACAATCTTCCCAACAATGTATAAAGTTCCAGTTCCTTCATGTCTTCATGAACACTTGGTTTTGTGAGTGGTTTAAATTTTGGCCATCTTAATAGGTGTTTATCTCATTGTATGTTTTTTTAATTAAAACATTTAAAAATTTTTGGTTTCAAAGTTTTCGGGATCTCAGTTCCCTGATCACGGACTGAACCTGCACTCCAGGCAGTGAAAGTGCAGAGTCCCAACCCCTGGACCACTAGGGAATTTCCTCTCATTGAGGCTTTAACTTGTGCATTTCCACAATGACTAATGATGTTGAGCATCTCTTCCTATATTTTTACCATATGCATATACTTACTTGATTTGTGTCTGTTCAAGTATTTTGCCCATTAAAAAAGTTGTGTTGCTTTTTTTTAAATTACTGAGTATTGAGAGTTCTTTATATATCTGGATACAAGTTCTTTATTAGATAATTAGTTTGCAAGTGTTTTTTCCACGTTTTTGACTTGTCTTTTAATTCTCTTGTCACTGTCTTTCAAAGAGCAGAAGTTTAAAATTTTGATGAAGTCCAATTATCAATTTAATAATTTAGTCTTTTCTGGATCTTGCTTAGGCATGCCCATCCCCACAACAGTGGTGGATCATGGTTGCCTTTTATCAGGCTGAGGAACTTCACTTCTGTTTCTAGTTTGTTGAGAGCTTTTCAGTTTTCAGGAAGACCTTGTGTAGAGTTGGTGTTATTTTTCACTTCTAGCATTTTTAGATGTTGGCCGTGGGTCTCTGTCTTATATGACAATGCACATGGCAGAAAGTGAGTCTTTCAGAGTCTTCCAAAAGCTTACCTCTTACCCTTCTCCTCCTTTTCAGGGATAAAACATTCCCAGAAGCCCAAGCTTTTTTGTCGCCTTACCCTCCAGACCCTTTGTTGGCAAGTGGGACTGGCTGATCCCTGACCTGGCTGCTTTGCATTATAAGCAAAGTTGGTTTCTTTTAACAAGAGGAGGAATGATTGCTGTGTGGGTGCCCTGGTAGTTCTCTTGTCATGTCTTTGGGACTCTCAGCAGGCATGTTGCTCTCTTGATTCTCCACCTAACTGCCCCTCTGGCCTGAATGTTCTCTTAGCTCTGCTTCCCGAGTCCCAGTGTTTCTTCTTTCTCAGTGCACGGTGCTGTGCAGGGAGCTGCCATGGGCAGGATGGGGTCTTGTTGCTTCTGGTGCAGCGCCTACCATGGAGAATGGGCTCAGCAGGTATGGGTGGATTGGGTAGCAGTGGCCAGAGTTTCCTTATCCTGGCGGGCAAAAGGGTCCTATGTGAGAGGGATCCCGTGCCATGGTGACAAGGAGCCAGGGTGCAGGGAGGTGCCCGGGTCTCCAGGCCTCGTCTTGTCTCCTTTGGAGGAGGTCCAGGACTCCGTTCCTCCTTCCTGCGGCCGTGTCTGTGCTTAGCAGCACACCTTACACCCAGGCTCCAGTGCAGTCCTCCCGCGGCCTCAGGAGGTTGCAGGGGTTACTCAAAGTAGTTTTGATTATATTTTATAATGTGAGCTGTGAGCACATGGTTGGAAATTCCCACAGTGCAGCAGGGGTGTGGTACACAGAACTCTCTGTCCTGCCCCTCTTCCGGAGGTGTCCTCATTTGGCCTTCTGGAGGTTTTCTGTGCTTGTGTTGTTTGGCTAGCAATGTACAGGTTACCCTAAGGCCTGACTTGATACAGCAGTCACTGTGATTGCTCATGTGGCTGAGGGACACTCTGCTGGCAGCTTGGCCTCAGGTATCCCGATCTTGGGGTCAGCAGGCTGTCCCAGGCACTATCTTGTGGCCATGGCAGAGATGTGAGAGCAGCTGGACACCTGTGAGGCCTTCAGCCTGACAGATCTGGCTGTTGTCACTTCCTACTTATTCTGTTGGCCTGTCCAGTACATGATCTGACCAGAGTCAAGGGGCAGAGCCTACTCTTCTGGAAGAAACTGCAGAATTGCAGGACAAAGGGTGAGGCTGGGGGTGGTGATAAGGAATTGGGGCGAGAATCTGACCCACCACAAATCATATACAAGCAACACTGCACACATATTCTTTTTTTATTTTTTTGATGTAAATGGTAGCATGCTCTATTAACAGTGCTGCATTTCTCACTTAATATTGCATCTCTATGCTCATTGTATGTCAGGACAAACAAATCTGCATTATTCTTTCCAAAGGCCATCTTTTCTGTTTGTCCCTGTGTTCATTATTTATTGTCCCTTATTAACCAGATTCAGGCTGTTTGGTCACTACAGTCAGTGCTGCACTGAGTGTTCTTGAGCAAATGCACATGTGTCTTCATGGGATACAGTCCCAGAAGTGCAACTGCTGGACCAAAGACTATCCATGTTAGACTCTGACCAGTGTGGTCAAGGTGCTGGCAGAGCCCTCTCTCTCACTGAGGTCGCTGAGGCTCAGAGGGGCTAAGTGTGGTACTAAGGGTTCTCCTGGAGGCCAGCAGGTTCAGGACGGAGCCAGGTCTCCTGACTGCCCCCATGTGTCCCACCACAGCACCACACCCTGCAGATGTGCAGGTGGTGGGTAATGAGGGTTCTGGCCACCCCTGGGAATATCATGATGGGGGGACCTGCTCCCTCAGCCGGGCAGTCAGGGTGTACTGTGGGAGGGGTATAGCAGAGGCACTCTCCAGGGCCCTGTCCCTGAGGCTGAGGTTTTCTGGGGTGTGGCTCCACCCTGCTTTGGACCTTCTCTTCCCTTCCTCTGTTAGATCCAAAAGATGGTCCGGTCTTATATTCCCAAAACCACCAAGGCATGCCTCTGCCCATGCCACCGCTTTGGGGGCCACCTCCCGATGCCTAGGGATCAGGCCGTGATGCCCTACTGGGTGCCCCAGGTCCTGAGGTCTCACAAGAAGGTAAGAGGGAGGCTCGTATGGCAGCAAGGCCTGAGAGTGAGGGGCGGGTTGAGGGGGACTAGGAGCCAAGGGGAAGGGTGCTGGGTTCCTTCCCCACAGTGGCCTCCATTGGTGTCTGGGGGTCTCCTCCAAGCTGTGGCCTAGGGCAGCAGAGAACAGGAGGCAAGTGGTACTGGGGGCAGGCCCAGGTCTGGTGTTCTGGTGGTGGTGGTAAGGGTGGGATACACTGCGCTCTGAAGAGGGTCTGCTGCCACCTTTCCCATCATTTCTTCTGCCCCTCCTCTTCCTCCTCTCCTCTTTCCTCTTCCCTCTTCTCCTCCAACTTGCTCACCTCCCTGCCTCTTTCTTCCCATCCCACCCTCCTGCTCCGCCTCCCCTCTACCTCAGTTCTCTCGGCCTGTCTGAGCATCCTGCACTTGTAGCCCCAGCCTGGCAGGCATGGAGGGAGGGTTCTGGGGAGGGGCTGTAGCTCAACAGTCTGTGCTCACTCTTCAGCTGTCTGGCTACCTCCACAGCTCTGGGTTCCAGGTCAGTAGCTGTGGTGGGGTATGGTTGGCCAGGTCCAGCCCAGCTCAGTTCCAGGGCCACTCCTCTCCTTGTTTTCTGAGTGTCCTGGAATTAGAGGCTTCTGCCTTCACCCACATTCCATCTGCTGGTTTTCTGTCACCAAGTAGCAGTGTCACCAGAATTAAAACCTACAGGCCTTTTAAAAAGAGACCATAACTTGCATTCTGAGCTGGTCATGGACCCCTTTCTGGGGGTCTCCAGGCTAGATCACTGGGCCCTCCTCTTGGTGGATCACTGGGGCTGACACACTTGCCCACATTCTTATCTTTTATCTTAGGTGGTGAAAAGGCAGCAGAGTTTTAAAGGCATCCCAGGTAACTCAATGTACATGTGTCTCATCGCCCCCTCTCCCCAAGTAAGGCGGGATTCTCGTGAACATCATGATGGGAGTGGGGTAGACTTCTGTCATGATGGGTATGACACAAAGAAGGCCACAGTCTGGCACACACACCACTTCTCTGACACCTACCCTTACCAGGCATCACTAATCACGCCTCATCTTTTCCCAGTGAACCCAGAGAAGCCTCAGACTCTACCAGTTATCAATATTGACTCTCAGGATGAAACCAATTTGCAACCTGGGGTTAGGTGGTATCTGAAGTGTTTTCTAAGCTCTAATCTTCTATAATTCATGATATGACTTGTGTATGTATGTGTTGTATATAAATATGTATTTATTACAAGGTATAAGCTTCTATGTTGACATATTTCTATATTCATGTATTCATGACACATTGTATGTTCATGACACCACACTTATGCATATATTCATCATACAGTGTATACATATATTCATATGTTCATGACAGGCGTAGCATATACTCACATGTTCACAGTGCAGTTCATAATCATGACAAGGTGTGTTCACATATCCTTATATGTGGCCTGATGTACACATGTACTCATGTGCTTAGTCACGGTGCACCAGGAGATGGTGTCTCTACTTGCACCTTTACTTTCTTCATCTCTGAAATGAGCAGAGGTGCTTTTCCTCACAGATGGTTGACATGTCTGCTTTCTCTGCATTGCATGTGAGCAAGGGAGTAGACATGTTTTGTGCAGTCAGATCACACCCTCCCCTTTCTGTGCTGGGGCCAAATTGAATGGTGAGTGCCCTTGATGGACTCTGTGGAGGAGGAATTGGAGAAAACCTAGAGGCTGTCTGTCTGACAAGGGGTTCTTGTGATGCGCAGGTGATTTGAGTGGCCCACCCAGAGCTTGGGTGTGCGCAGATTGGGGTAGAGTGGTTGGGAAATGAGCGGCCACTACCTCTCATGCTCACCTCTTTATGTAGAAGATACTTAACTTTTCCCTGAATTTAAAAGCACAGTTAGGAGGAGCATGAATTGTCATAGCCTTTGGCAGGAGGTTTGGAGGTATCGATCAAATTTTATAATGTGAAATATCTTTAATCCAACAAGCCTATGTCTGGGTAATATCTGTGGGCACTCCACGCATGTCTGTCTGTAGCAGTGATTTCTTTGGCAAAAAATTGGAAGCAACTTAAGCGTCTCTTGGTGGGAGGATGGACATAAATAGAGGTGCATTTGAAATGTGGCACCAGCTACCTAGAGTTCACAGCTGTTAGGGACGATGAAATGGACCCTCCGACACATTGCAACGTAGAATAACAAGTCAGTGTAGCCTAGGCAATAGGACTCCGCTAGTGTCAATTTAAGGACTTCCCTGGTGGCTCAGCTGGTAAAGCGCCTGTCTACAATGTGGGAGACCCCAGTTCGATCCCTGGGTCAGGAAGATCCCTTGGAGAAGGAAATGGCAACCCGCTCCAGTACTATTGCCTGGAAAATCCCATGGATGGAGGAGTCTGGTAGGCTATAGTCCATGGAGTTGCAAAGAGTCGGACACGACTGAGTGATTGAACTGACTGTCAGTTTGAAAATGAAAGCTCTGTTCGTGTGAGGTGAAGGTTGGTTTCGTGTGTCTGAGCTGACAGTCACAGGTAATCCCTGTGGGTGGGAAAGGGGCAGGTCATCCCAGCAAAGAGAGGCTTTGGGGGTGTGTGTGTGCATGGTGAACAAAACAGATAGCAACACGTTGCCTCAAGTTTTAGGTGGAAGAGCCAGAAATCGCTTTATTAAGAAAAGTGGCAGAAGAATGAGAACCCCCTGAGAAACTGCTCTTCTCACTGTATAGTCACCAGTGTAGTTTATTTTTATTGGTTGTTTTTGGCTTTGACTACTCTGCATCTTTAAGAAAGGGTAAAAACTTGGTCATTTTATTAGTGAATCATTCATCCATTGATAACACTGTTAAAAACCAGTATTAATTTTTACTCCAGCCGTAGTTTTATAGTTCAGGTGATTTATGTTAATAATATTTCAAGCCTCAAACCCATTCAAGGACAGGAATGAGAATGTGTTCACAGATGGGAGTGAGAGTGCCAGTCTCACTGCCACCAGGAGGTTAGGGAGCCTTCTCTCCTCTGAGCTTCATACAGAGTGACCTAAAAATAAGAGATGGTTCCTTTGGCCTCAAATCCAGCTGATTTCCATTTTAGAGAGAAAATTCTGTGTTTCTGATCTTGTAAATAGAGGGCTCATGTGCTTTTCTTCTTTATGCTCTTGTGATAGTTTTTTTATAAAGAAAATATAGTTTATATTTATTAAGAATGTATTTTATATTGGTATGATTAGAGTGTACATTTTTAGTAGTAGCATATTAACAGCATAGTAAAAATAAATAAGAGATATAACATCAAGAGGGTCACATGTGACCAAAGCAGGTCTTGAAAAAGCTAAAAAGCGTTGAAGAGACAGAGATGTTTGAATTCCATTTGTGTTTATGGTGGTTGTTTACTGCTTATTTTGGGAAATTTCAGATACTCTGAAAGAGCCCATGTTCCCTTCCCTCGGCTACAGCCACAATCAACTGACCAACTCCTAGATGATTTGGTTTCTTCTCTGCTTCACCCACTCCATACCGCCTCCAAAAAAAAAAAAAAAAGGAAAAAATTACTGTGGAGCAGATCACCGCTAACTACCATATCCTTTCATTCATAAATATTTCAGTAGGCAGCTTTAAAAGATAAAGACTCAGAAAACACAGCCACAAAGACCCACAATCACCGTAGAAACAAATACCATAGCCATGCTCTCTTCATCTCCACGGGCGCTGCGCGAGTGCCCACGCCCCAGGACTGCGACCTGCCTTGCTGTTGACACCTGGTTTCTTTGCCCTGGTTTCCCTAGGGCTCTCTCATGGGTGCAGACTCGAGAGCACCCTGTCCCCACACCCCTTGGGGCCTGACTCACTTTCTCTGCCTAGAAGCCCCTCTGGATGTGCGCTCCGGGTACAACCGCTGGCGGATCTGTGGCGAAGGGCACCATCTCCTCAAGTGGCAGCAGCTCCAGGCTCTTCACCAGGCTGGGCCGGTGGCCTCGGGGCGGCCAGAAGGCCCCCCAGCCCCCTTCCTGCCCCTCAACCTCAGCCTCCTGACACTCCTCCATGCTCTGCTGAGGGTCATGGTGGGCATCCGGTGAGCAGGTGTGGGTGGGGCAGTGGTGGCCTTGGGCTTATCTTACATCCCGGGCTTTAGTTGAGTTGAGCGTGTGGGAGAACTTGGTTGTTGCTCAGCAGAGGGTGAGAGGTGGGCACTGCTCTGATTCCTGTTATGTTGTGACCATCGTCTGGACTGTTGCTCGTACCTGACACACACACCTTCTAGAAAATGCAAGGGAAGAACAAACCAGATACATCAAGGTTAGGGCCAATGGTATGGTGGGGGAGCATCTACCCATCTTTATTTCCTCACCTCTTTCCTGTTCTCAAGTTTCTAAATTCCCCTGCCACCCCCCCTCCCCAACCAAAGACCACTGGTTTCAGTTTCTGCAAACTTCTGTTGTGTTGGGGTGGGAAGTGGATTTTATGCCAGCCTGACCGGCCATCTCTCTGGAGTTTAAGCACACTACAGCCTTGGGGAACCTGCTGCCTCTCTCACAGTTCAGCCCCAACTATCAAGGCTCCATACTGAAAAGCCCTTTCTGCAGCCTTGATCACACCTGGCTTTGCCCAGTCCTGCATTTCTCACCTGGGACCCCACTCTGCCCCTGCCACCACCCAGGAAGCCTCCAGGGCAACCTCAGGTTCATTGCAGGGCCTCTACTTACCTGGTTACTTGCTTTAGTCCCCTCAGTAACAGCTCTCCTCCTCTTAACGCCCCTGCCGCAGTTTACCCATGTCCCCAACCACTACCCCATCTACCTTCTTCTTCCTGTTTCTTTCATCACACCTATCTATAAATATATACAAACACACACCAATATGTAAATAGAAGACATGTAAATACATATCAATAGGTAAATGTGCACAATTAGAATTTACATATATTGACTTATTTACTTTTTGTCTCTCTCCTCCACCCAGTTGTAAGAGGAATGTTCTAGAAAATGTCCAGTATCTGAAAACAGTTTCAGATGTCTTTTGCCCAGTTTTTTAGCTGTTCAAATAGGAAACCAGCTCTGTCATTGTCACTCCATCTTGTCTGGAAGTGGAAATTCCTCTCCCTGCATCCTGCCTGGCCACTCTCCTAGTATTGGGCGCTTCATGTGGTCACATAGGACACCATGATGCACATTCGCATACAAGTGCCTATAGTGGACCTGGGTTGCAGCTTCTCCAGGGCGAGTGCCCCGAGGAAGGAGCCGGCCAGGGGTCTTTCAGCTTTGCATGATCTGAATGGGTCAGCACTGTGAGACTTCCTTCTTTGTTTTTCTTTAAGTTTCATCTTTCTTTTTGTGTTTGCCAACTTGATGTCAAATTTAGTTGGACTCCCTAGTTCCCACTCTGGGAAGAGCAAAAATAGAAACTTTTCTGTAGATGGTCCATGTTAAGTATTAATAGGTGGTCCAGGTGGGCCAAAGGAAAATTGCTAATACTTTTATGGGAGGTGTTTGCTTCTGAGCCAGGATCTTAGGGCAGAGGTCAGGCACTAACCAGCTGTTAGGAGAAATACCTTACCTGCCTGGAGTGTATGTGGGGTGCCTTGTGAGATCCCCCAAAGTGCACACCCAGTTTCTCTCAGAAGCTTCTGGCCCATCTGCTGGCCTGGCAGAGACTTGCTAGAACTCAGAGGCCATAGGAGAATGGATAAGCTCCAAACCTGCCCAACAGGGAACCCAGAAAGAGTAGCGATGAGTCAATCCTTGCCTTCTTGTCTGGACTTGCTATGCCTTTGTTTTTTTCAGTTCCTTCCACAATTCTGCAGAGTTTGCGTTCTCCCTGGAGTCCAGAAGGGAGAGTGGGCTGAGGGGGTTGAGTGCCTCGCCTCAGGTCCCACCCTGGATAGTGAGCCAGCCAGGGTGGCTCCCTGTCTTCTGCGTAGGCTCCTCAGTGACTGAGTGTGTATCCTCCTCTACCGCGGGGTTTTCTTCACCCTCCACCTCGGGGAGATTCCTCACATGGGCCCTACAAGGCCAGTGTGGTTTCATTTTGGGGGTCAATTCCTAGTAATTGCCTTTCTCTTTGCTTTCTAGCCAGCTTTTTTGGGTATGAAGTTGGAATCAACGGCTACTGTCAAGAACATCAACAAAAATGTCCATCCTCCTCAAGGTCTTTAACCAAAGCCATCAAATCAGGGAGAGTCTGTAATAGTCACTGTTCTCTCAGTCAATGCAAGTTATTTATCATCAGGTGATTTTTAGTTGTAGTGGAGTTGCTGTGAATGTGGGTGAGATTCCATTATGAATATGATCAATAAATGTTATTTGTGAAACTCAAAGTGATCACTTTTTAAAAAATGATTTCCTCAGATTTTCCTTTGTGAGGGTGGGACTCATTCTCCACCTCTGTGTCCCTGTGGGCAGGGAGCCACCTCTGAACTTCTCTTCCCTTTGCAAGGATAGCAGATCCTCTGGATGAGGATCCTGAAATGGCTTTAGCATCTGTTTCATGTGGGTCTCACTTTAAGTAACATAAAATTGTATGCGGTTTGTATTTTTAAAAACAGATATCGTTCACATACCATAAAATTCACCTTTTTTACAGTGATTTAATATTTTTTTTTGCTCTGTTTACAAGGTTGTACAGTTGCCACTACTACCTAATTCCAGACATTTTCACCCCCAAAAGAAACCCTATACCTATTAAGCACTTACTCCTTGGTCCCTTCTCTCCTCACCCCTGGAAACCACTAACCTACTTTCTCACTTTTCCGATTTTGTATAGATGGAATATGTATCCTTTGCATCTGGCTTGTTTTCATTTGGCATAATATTTGCAAGGTTCACTCACATTGTAGCATGTGTCAGTTCTTCATTCCTTGTTTTTTATGGCTGGATAATAAGCATTGCAAGGACAGACCACATCTTGTTTATCTGTCCATCAGTTGGTAGACACTGGGTTATTTATACTTTTGGGGTATTATTAATAATGCTGCTGTGAACGTTTACTTATGCTTTTGGTGTCAACATGTTTCATGTCTCTTGGGTATGTACATGGGAGTGCTGGGTCATATGGTAACGCTCTGTAATGTTTTGAGGGGCTGCCTCAGGTTTTCATGGTGGAAAACACTGCTTCATTTTATTTGTTTATTTATTATTATTATTTTTATAGCAAAGTTTAAAAAAAACTTATTTAATTTTGGTTGCTCTGGGTCTTTAGTGCTTGTGCGGGCTTTTCTCTAGTTCTGGTGAGCAGGGGTTATTCTTCATTGCGGTGTGCGGAGTTATTGCAGTGGCTTCTCTTGTTGTGGAGCACAGGCTCTAGAGCATGCGGGCTTCAGTAGTTGAGGCACTCAGGCTCACTAGTTGTGGCTCTCAGGCCCCAGAGCCTGTGAGTTTCAGTAGTTGAGGATCACAAGCTTAGTTGCTCTGTGGCATGTAGCATCTTCCTGGACCAGGGATTGAACACATGTCCCCTGCACTGGCAGGCAGGGGAGTCCCTGTGTACCATTTTACATTTCATATTCCCACCATCAGTGTATGAACTTTCTGATTTCTCTGTGTCTGAAGAGACTTGTGTACACAGGGTGTTGCCATGAGTGCTAGTTGTGGGGTGCTCTTGCCTGTTATTTCTGCTCAGTTCAGAAATGTTCAGTGTGGGACCCACTCTGCAGACACAGGTGTATTGATGTTTCTGAGTGCTTCTGTGATGTGACCCCACCATGCAGCAGTGACAGGGCCTCCCTTCCCCGCACCTGCACCGGGCATGCCTCCTCCTCTTAATCTCTGCCAGGATGAGAAGTAGAGCGTGCTGTTACTATGTCCTTAACTGGAGTTGCTTAATTGAGGTGTGAGCAGCTCCTCATACGTTTGCCGGCGTTTGTGCTGTCTCTGCTGCAAGTGGTCTGTCCACAGCGTTTGCCATCCCTTCTGCCATCTCACGTGGTTCCAGCTGAGGACAGCCAATGATGCCAGTTACTGTACTTAGAACAAAGCAAGACAGAAGAGCAAGGCATCTTCAACTGGAATGTCCTTGGGCTTCAGAGTGCAGTCCTGGGGGCTGAGGTCATGGTCAAGGGTGTGTGTGAAGCATGGAAAGTCAGCCAGGTGTAAAGCAAAGCACATGCTAACGTGTGTGGGCCCCTGAGTCATAGCATTTATGAGCTGGGATGGTAAAGTATGAACCTTTATGGGCCTCCGACTGTCATCAGTTGACCCAATTGGGAACTGAGATGTGCCATTTCATAGACATAGCTTTCTTCCTCAGGAGGTCTGACTCTACAGAAACTGAAAGCAAAGAAATGGTCAGGTGGTGACGGTGCTAGGAAGAAAGGCAAAGCAGAAAAAAGATGGGTGGTGATTGGGTGGGGGCCCTCTCTGAAGAGGAGACCCTGGGCGGAGGATTGAATGTGGTGACGGTGGGGACAGAGCCCCAGACTGTGGGGTGACAGGTGCGAAGGCCCTGAGGATGGATATCCGTGGAGCATGAGGAAGCTTAGGAGCCCAGTGTGACTGAGTGGAGAGTGAAGTGGACTGTGGTCAGGGATGGCGGTCTGGAGGTTAGCTCAGGCCTGGTCCCGAGGTCTTGGCATCGTTTGAGGGTCTCAGGGTTTATTCTGCCTTGGAGAAGCCCTTCGGAAGCACCTGGACTGAATGGCCCCAGGCTGGCTTCTAACTTGCTCCCTCTGGTGGCCATGCTGAGGACTGACTGAGGAGAAGCGGTCTTGCTACCTAGGAGGGTGGGAATGAGCCTGAGCTCCTGGTGTGTCCTGAGCATGGAGACAACAGGATTCGCTGGTGGATTGGCTGGGTTGGGAGAGCAGCGGCGCAAGGAGTGGGTGTGGTGGGCACCGTCGAGGAGCCACGTAGAGGTGCTGACATCGCTGTTAGAACTAAGTCTGTGTGGAAGGGGAGGTGTGGGCTGGAGGTGTAAATTTGAGTCACCAGCTGGCTTGTTTTGGAGCCCTGCGGCTGGATGCCATCACCTGGGAGTTGATGTGGGTGGGGAGGATGGAGACTAAGGCAGAAAGGGGGCCAGCTTCTGTGGGTCCTGCCACCTGCCTGCTCCAGGTCATCCAGGGCACCAGCAGACACATCT